GGATAAAGAATTTGGACCCTATTCTCAGGCAACCATTCTTGGAAAGAGACCATGGTTTCATTTTAGCAGTTGAGCACCCAGCTCCTGTTCACAGAGCACCAGAAATTTGAAGGAGGATGCTGAGAGCCCTGCAAGGGAGGAGGGGTGCTCCCTGCTACTGCCTCACAAGGCAGGGATGGGAGGGAGGATCTCTTCCAAAGTAGAAGGGATCCTAAGCTAAAACTTTTGGCCAGCCCACCAAACTAATGGCAGTTGGAGGAGATGGCACTATAAACATTATTTTAGGATTCCATTCTGCCCCAAAACTACCAGGCCTGGATGGGCAGGTAGAGCTACGGTGCTCTTGATGTTGTCTGCTCAGAGTTCCAGCAAAGACGACCTCTCCTTGTTCTGACTGGACTCATCTGACCTCTCACCCATCAGCCCCTTTATCTGTGCTGGCCCAACCTAAAATGATCATTTCCAAATGATCATTATAACTACAAGGAGCTATGGAATGAGAATGTGTCATTTCATGAGATAATGACATGGTGCTCTTTAGGGTTTGATTTTTAATATAAAACTGATCCAGCTAAATTATGCACTTCAGTACATTTCCCTGATGGCAATTTCTTATATAAGAATATTCAGTTTTTTAGATCAGTGCTTCTCAAAGTTCAAAGTGCTTATAAATCACCTATGGGACTTGTTGAAGTGCAGACTCTGATTCAGTATGTCCTTGCGGAGAGTCTGTGGAGATTCTCCATTTCTAACAAGGTCCCATGTGATAAAATGCCTCGGCCTGGGACCACACTTTGAGTGGCAAGTGTTTAGAGTCATCCCCTAGCTGGGGTCCGTCTCAAGACATTTCTTAGAATTTGCTAATGATGGTAATTAAAAGATATGAACACAGTAAACTCATTTTAGGGTCAAAAATGATAAAATCACTTTTCATTACAAATAAAGAAAAAGTTTTCTTAGCAAAACTGTAATGCTCACCTTTAAATGACACCAGAGTGAATGGGAAAAGTGCACAGCAGACATTCCCAGGAATGCAGCCCTCCGGTGAGGGAAGAGAGTTTGAACAAAGGGATGTGAGGTGTGCCAAAGCTATCACGACTGAAAAGTCAGCTCTATTATTTTTTGCATGTGTCATTTGAGATTTGACTTGTAAGAGTTATTTATGTTCTCCGGCTGATATTTCCACATTCTGAATGAAGGTGATCTGAGATTTGTGCCCCAGTGGTTTCTCAGGAATGAAATGTGTGGAGTGCCACCATGCCCTTCCTGGACTGTCCTGGAATTGTCCTTGGCAATGTATAAATAATAACTTTTATATTAAAACAGAGTGTTGGAAGTGAAAAACCGACTGTTATGATCCCTCTAAGCTAACAGTGCAGGTCAGCACAGATAAAGGATAGCTTAAATTCAGTTAATGAGGTAAAGGCAGGAGTGGATAATGAGAAACAGTGAGAGAAGATGGCTTTTAGACTCATATTCACCTGAATTTTAATTCTTTCTCTACCACTTACCAGCTGTGTGGCCTTAGGCAAGTTATTTAACTTCTATTGATCTAATTTTTCATCATCTGTGAAATGGGCATAATGTACCTTCAAATTGTCTTAAGTTTTAAATACCATGGTATATGCAATAATCCAGTTCCCATGAGTGCATTTAAAATAAGATTTGATTTTGCACAATGGTGTGTTCCTAAAAGCTTGTGTACGGTGAGATACTGCAGAATAAGTTACATAATAATAACAATAGCAGTTTGTAAATAGTGGGAAAGGGATTTGATGCCAAGTGATCTGACTTTAGAGCCTGTATTTAAATGCCCACTGCACTACCCTGTGTACATTGCTCTCACTTAATGTTAACTACCCTTCCCATTCTGAGCATTTGTTTTATGAAGTACAACTCCAGCTGAAACTTTGATAAGCAACCCAGGGCATAGAGCAGAGGTATGGGAGTGAAATTCAGCCAGACTTGGGTTTGAGCCTAGCTCTGCAATTGAATGCAATTGACATAGTTACTGAGTTTATACAAAATAAAAAAATAAGTGGTACTTTCTCTCATGTGTTTTAATAATAAGAACACCCAAGCTGTTGAACTGATTCTGTTTCTTTTGGTGACCATCCAGTGGTTGAAATATGATGTGAGGAAAATGGTATCTTTATAATGAATCAAGAAAACCTCCAAAATGATGTCTTCATGATACTGTTAATTCCCTGGTAAAACATGATGGGAACTCAGAAGTGTCTGCCCAGGGACACAGTGGGATAGAATAGACATCAGCATATTCCAGCTTGCTGCTGACTTGTGCATCTGGGGAGGAAGTGGAAAATCCATTTGAGATGTGCCAAAACATGGCTTAAATTGGCTCACATACTCCAAATAGCCAAACTGTTTTTATCAATGACATCATCCAAAAAAGTCAAAGACAGTTTGTTCAAACCTCATTGGTGATTTCATTTAGAAGGGAGGGAAGTATAAATGAAGTTTGAAACTTTCACATCCATAGATCTGTTTCAGAGTGTTTCATCAGAGGACACACAGGTGACTTTTTTTCCTACTTTCATTTAAGAAATAACAACAAAGCAAAACTGAAGGAACAAAATAGCAGCAGACTCACAGGCTCCAAGGAGGGACTAAAAATTACCAAAGGGAAGGGATGGGGGAGGTCAGGTGGGGAGGGAGAATGGGACTGTGAGGCATCATAATTAGTGCACATGGTGTTCGTGGGGTCACGGGGAAGACATTGTAGCTCAGAAAAGACATGCAGGGATTCTGTGGCATATTACTACACTGATGGACAGTGACTACAATGGGGTATGGGGGGACTTGATAGTAAGGGTGAATGTAGTAACCACATTGTTTTTGTTGTGAAACCTTCATAAAAGTGTATACCAATGATACCTTAATTATAAAAAAAAAAGAGAAAGAAATAGCTTTACTTTAAGAACATCAAATTTCCCAAACATGGTTTGAATACATTTCCTGGATACTTTTATGTACCTGACATTCCCCTGGCAACCTTATATACATTACTATTTAATTTAGTCTTTACCAAATTCGTGTCTGGTGAGGACTATTATGACCCCATAGTAATAGATGAAGCTTTTACAGCTATTGTAACTTAGGTGCATTCACACATAAGGTGTTCCCAACGTTGGACCTGGGAAGCTTGATCAGCAGGCCTGAGCCCAGAGGCCAGGTCCTAATGACCACCATGCTGTCTTTCAAAACAGGGGAGAGCCTGCCCTCCTGGACTGCTCAGTCTAGCAGGGGACTGTGCCCTGCCTGGAGCTGGGATGGGGAAGTGCAGGGTATTTGGAGAGCAGCTCTGAGGGCACTTAGCCTAGATCCCAGAGGTTGATAAGACCCCTGGACATCTAGAGGGAGACTGATGAATCAGTAGAAGATAGGGAGACAACAGGGAAAAAAAGGAGCAGAAGGAAAGGAGGGTGTTCACAACTCGGACATGAGTGATCATGTGGTCTGTTTGAGGACTTGAATATAGCTCAGAGTAGCTAGAATTGAGACTTAAGGGAGTGGGTCCGGAGTGGGATGCACCTGAAGAGCTGGTATTTCAGAACAGTTGTGGAGTTAGTAAGTTTGTCTCAACTTGTACACTTATTCCCTGTTGGGAGGCCTTGGGTAAGGAACTTAGTCACCCTTAACTTCATCTCCCAAGTGGTAGACTATGGATGTACTTTCTCCAAAGCACAGTTGTGAAATTATACCAAAAAATAGTGGACATAAACCTACATTATTAGCTTTAGTCTTTATCACTACATTAAAGGAGACAACTGAAATTTAACTCAATTTTCATCCATCTTTTATTTATAACTTTTACTACCATCTATTCTCTTCTCTAGCCCTTAAGGAATAGTGAACTGTGTTCTTAAGTTCTGTCAATTAATTAGCCCATCTGAATGGTAGTGAGCAAGTCATGTTCTAACTTAGGCCTCTAGAATCTCATTTATAAATGAGATGGTAGGACTTTCAAGTGCTAACGTTATAAAACCTACAAAAGACTTCCATAGCCAAGTTACCTTGTTCAAACCCTGACTCTCCCAGGAATTTGCTGTATCACACAGCAAGTTTGACAAATTACTGAACCTCTCTGTACCTTAATTCCTCGTTTGTAAGATTAGGATACATGTACATATCTCATAGAGATACAATGAAAATTAAATGTGCTCAAAGTACCTGGTATAATATATTATAAATAATGAATGGCCCATAGTAGGCACTTTTAAAAGGTGTTTATTGTTGTCATGTTCCAGTTGAGTCACGTGAAATCAATCTATGTGTATTGTGTACAAGCCAGGCTCCTTTACCATCAAAAAGCCCGAAGCACCACATGGAAATCATGGACCCTTCATCAGTAGTCAGCAGAGAACAATCCCAGGAACACTAATGAAAGAGGTGGCAGGCTGGACAGCAGTGCAACTCTGGGTGACTGTGCTCCTAAACTAAGAGAGCGTAAAAGGCACAGAGTCTGAAATAATAACAGATAACAAACAACAGAGTGGGGAAAAAGAAAAGTCACATTGGAGTTGAGCTTACTGGGGAATCTTGGTTCCTTTTCAGAACACAATTCTGAGTAGGTCCCACCATCAGCTAAACAATTTTCACACAAAGGGGCAGAAAATATAAACAAGCCACATAGAAAAGAACAACAGTATGAATTGGTCAGGAAAAGTTCTCTCAGGAACTCAGAATCATGCCCCAGAGAGCAAGAGGTGCACAGATTAGGATGCCGAAGGAAGTGCCCTGTTGTAGTGAGAGGGGCCCCATAAAGTGCCCTCGCCCGTCCTCTGCCTGCCCTCCCTGCACAGTTGATCCATTTTAGTCCTGTTGAGAAAGCTGCCGCACATGTCCGTATTACAAATGTCAGCACAGTGGTGTTGCCATTTATCTGGGAAGACTCCCGACCTGAGCACCCAGGGGCTTGACCTGTCATTTAATATCCCTAACAACCTGTTAAGGTTAATTCTTTTACTTTCAAATTACAGATGAGGATGCTGAGATGTTCAGCAGGGAAGTAGCTTGCTCAAAGAGGTCCAGTAAGTGGCAGAGGGTGGCTTCAAAGCTGGGGCTGACTTATTCCAGTGTTCACAGTACCCTTCGATCCACACACACCATTGTCCCTCCAGGTTTGCCCTATGTTATCATCTGTACTAAATTAGGCATTTATATGGGAGTCCTGGCAGGGCACCATGCCTCAGTCAGCAGGCACAGCCAAACCGGCAGCCGAACAGAAAGCCCAGGTCCTTCTGCTCATGGTTCAGAGACATGTTCTGCCCTCAGAGGGAAGCTCTCTAGTTCAGTGGTGCTCACGGCCCACGGGTGACTCTCTAAGGCCATGCGTCTGAAAGTCGCAGGTGAGATGAGAACAAAGGCTGACTCACCTCATAGTCCTCAGCAGGAGCCCCTCTGGTCCTCGTGGCTTTTGCTCCCAGGCTAAACATGGGAATTCAGACTTCACACCATTGGCTTCTAGGTTAGGTGCACTGTGTCCAGAGAATTTGTTCTACAGGATATTGATTCTTTGCTATTCATAGAGCTGTGCTTTGAGGCTTACTAAGGAAGGCAATATATTTGAAAATAACATGTATTCAGATAGCTGGGCCCCGGGGTCCATGACTACCCAACAGATTTTTAATTGTGTTATTCAGAATTTCCATTTGTCTTTAGTAATTTTCAGTCTGTTTGATTAATCAGTTTCTGAACATTTCCACTCTGCTTGTAGATTTCTCAGTTTCTTTATTTCTATCAGCTTTTGTTTCATGGGGTTTGAACCTCTGTCCTTAGGTGCATATCAGGATTACGGTATCTTCCTGGTAGATGGCTTCTTTTCACCACAATGTAAAGACCATCTTTATACCTAAAACTTTGTCTTGACTTTAGAATAAATTTTTTCCTGGTAGAAATATTGCAGTATCAGCTTCTTTTAGTTATTATGCGTCCAGTATATATGTTTCTATCCCCTTAATCTTATGTGTCATTATGTCTAATGTGTAGCTCATGAAAAAGCACATAGTTACATATTTTTAAAAATTCATTCTGATGTTCTCTGACTTCAATATATATTTGCCTATTTGCCATAATACTCCCTGTATGCTGGGGTTTTTCTTCGGGCTTTTTTCTCTTCTTTTATGTCTTCTGTTTACTTCCATTCTCTCCTGCCCCCAGTGTTTAGGAAAGTTACGTATTCTGTTTCTCCTTTTTCAGCAGTGGCTCTTACATTTTAAAAATTGGCTTAACTTGTATATCAGTTGTATCTCAATAAGCTGAAAATTTTTAAAAATTGGCTAAACTTAATAAAGACCAAAGTCAATCCCCCCTTATTCTTATAGTTGTAGCTCTCTGAGGATTATAGTATAAGTTAAAGGAATTCAGAAACTCTTGTGGCTGGGAGAATGTTAGAAGATTTTATTCACACATCTTGTGCAATAAGCTAGGAGACTCAGGCAATGTGGTATTCCAACCCCAGACAAGGACAGAAGTTTCCAAAATGATTTTGTAAGTCAAATATACAGTAACTTTCCCAGTGTCCTCCTACTATCCCATCCCATAACTGTCACTTCATATATAAATGTATAGTTAGTTAATAATTAATTAATTAGAAGGTAAGATATTGGGTCCCATATTACATTATTCTTCAATATTTCTATGTTTACACCATTAGAAATAAGTCCAGCATTGTGCTGATTCCATCTGTGGAATGTTCAGGGACATTCCAAGCAATTAGAATTATTTTGAGCAGCAACAACTAAAAGGACCCAAGAGAAGAGGCACTTGGCAAATGTCTGGCCATTCATTTTCTTTACTACTTAGAGAAAATTTGGTAGGGATTGTACAAGGATGGCTGAGTTATAGTTAATATCAGGTATTAGCTTGAGAATAGGTATTAATCAACATGAAGTCCTCACCTCCCCAGCTAGTTGCATGGAAAAAATGTGTATATGTATATTGTGTGTACCTATTTACATGTTTACAGAGGAAATGACTATTCCTTTCATCAGGTTCTTCAAAAGGTGTAGGACTTTAAAAGGCTAAAACCCATTAGCTACCACTGTTTTTCATAGTGTAAAAATCAGCCAATTCCTGGCAAGTGCCAGCCTTCATCTTCTGAAGGTCAAGGTCAAAGTTCAGTTTCTCCTAGAGAAAATGGGACCTCATTTTCTCTTTTTTTTTTTCTCTCTTTTGAAAGCTTCCTTCCTACCAGCTACTTTAACTATGACTGTGGACAGGGGAGATAATGTGAACATATCTTTCAAAAAGGTGTTGATTAAAGAAGAAGATGCAGTGATTTACAAAAATGGTGAGTGTGTGTTTTGTTTCCTTCCAGCTCTGTGGTGTGAGATACTGGAGAGCACAAAACCTGTTGGGTCATTGTCCCATTATAGTCATGGGGGCAGATGTTGAAAATAGAGCTATTATGATACAAACTAATCAAATTCTATGATAGCAGTTGTCTTAGGCAATGTGTCTGATTATTTAATCAAGTAAATTAAAGTGGAGATTCATATACATACATGAATGTACATACATTATATGAATTATCAATGCACAATGAAACCTCATCGTGATGGGATAAATGGGGTCCGAAATTCAGCCATGTAAAATGTGAGGTTGATTACAAGGTTAAGGAAATGACCAGAGTAGGCCTGGGAAGCCAGCTGAAAGTTCTGGGGGGTCCAACTGTGTGATATACATCTCTTTAGGTCTCTGGTTTAGCACCACCTGGTGGCAGTTGCCTGACCCGGCTGAAATACTGGTGGAGACTTCTGAGTTCTATGAATGGATAGGACTTACTAGATTGGAGTAATGTGATTCTAGGTATCTCCTGGTTAACTGATTAGTTGGCAGGGCTACTTGACATTTCCCACCCAGCTTTGCCTGTTCACCTCTCCCTGCAGAATAAGAACTCTTGGCAACCCCATCTCCATTGTTTGGTGGTAGATCCCACAGAAGAACTTCTCCGCTCTGTGACCATGACTTTCTTGACTGTTGGGAGAGCACTGAACAGCTCAGCCTTTTCATTCTTCTCCCACATCCAATATGCTAGAGCACATTTTCTTTATCAGGCCAGGTAAAGCTGATTAAAAAGTAGGGTCAGACAAGGAAATACGATTGTTTGAAAGTGACCCATTTTTCTCCACTCTCCTTCCTTACCAGGTTCCTTCATCCACTCGGTGCCCCGGCACGAAGTACCTGATATTTTAGAAGTGCATCTGCCTCATGCTCAACCCCAGGATGCTGGGGTGTACTCGGCCAGGTACATAGGAGGAAACCTCTTCACCTCTGCCTTCACCAGGCTGATAGTCCGGAGTAAGTGACTGAGAAGCCACCACCTGTGATGCTGTGGTTGTTAGGATTTTTACTTGTGAGTCACAGAAACCGACTCTGGATCCTCTATCAAAAACCAGGGATTGGTTGGAAGTACACTTATACTTCCATGTAAGGCATCTAGAAAATTGATGGAAAAGCTGACAAGTTTCCAGAAAAGATAGGCTCCAAGGGAATGTCTGAGGCTCGGCACTGTGGAGGGGAGGTTGGGCTTTCTAGGCTGCTACTATTACTCTAACACAGCTTCAACAGTGTTTCTGTTATGTCCAAATTTTGAATTCCCAGGATAAAGAATTAGACTGACCTAACATATGCTAGGTGTCTGTTTGTCTAGATCAATGAGCTATAGACAAGGGTGGAGCCACATGCTACCTTGCAGGCATGAAGATCTCACACTTGAATAGCAACAGCATCAGTCCCATAAAAAGGGGGAGTCACAGGGAGGTGGGCAGTCTCCCTGAAAAGTGTCTGCCACCGGGCAATGAGTTGGGCCTCCTGGTTTGGTCTATTATCTAGTTAAACATTAAGTGCCCTATAAATCCCACATGTTCTAGTTCATTTAAAGCTCAAATATAATTTCTGTTTCCAGGTTTGAAAATGTATGAGTTAGAACTATTGAAAACTTTTTTCTCCTATTCTAAGTATCAAAGTGGGAAGTAACCATAAGGGCATCTCTCATATTTATTGATCAAATGGTTGTTAACAACAATAAAATTCTGTATAGGGGACTCAATGCACAATCATTAATCAACCCCAAGCCTAATTCTCAACAGTCTCCAATCTTTTGAAGCATAACAAACAAGTTCTTACATGGTGAACAAGTTCTTACATAGTGAATAAGTTCTTACATCGTGAACAGTGCAAGGGCAGTCATCACAGAAACTTTCGGTTTTGATAATTACCACTAGTTTTTATAAGAAATTGATCTATAGAAAGCAAAAAAAGTTTTTCCCTGAATTTTCCCCAGCTATGTCAGTTATTCATGACATTAAATATTCAGGCATTCAGGTCTAAGTACTTGGGCTGCTCTGTCATTCAGCTACTGATTGGTATCTCTAACCTATGAAGAGTATTAATTTTACTTTTCATTATATTTATTCATTCATACAACCAATATACATTGATACTAACTCCATGCCCAGCATTGTGTTAGCATTGAGAATACAAAGATAATAAGATGGATCGCTGTCCCTTGGGTAGTCCTCAGAGCAGTCATATACATAAACAGTTATTGCATTATGACAATAGAAGTGTGAAAAGTGTGGTTCATTTAGTTTGGGCAGGTGAAATCCCCCTTTATTCCACTGTACTCAGTGGAAAGTCTGAATGGCAAGAACACAGTTTGCATTCATTTCATTTAGATGCTTTCTCTCCCCAGGGGTACTCAGAATCTGGGGTAAAGGAGTCCATTTTCTAACAATATCAGGAACATCAGATGTTGCTATATGGTAAAAGACTTAGAAGGTTTTTTTTAATGTTACAACAAACATGGCTTCAGTGTAGACTAGAATTTAAAATTCACCTGACCTTTTAAGATATAATGAAAGACTTGAAACACATTTTGATTTCCAAGTTGTCTCTTCTCCGATGGCTAGGAGCACATATTCATTGCTCTGCTGCTAGGAGTATCTCAATGAAACAGGAACACTGCTGATATCTAAAATCATTCTAAGAAACTCTGAGTTGGGCTACAATCATGTCTTTTAAGAGTGTTTTTCCCCAGTATGATTTATTTGGTACTTAATAATGAGGTACGGCTGAAGGCATTTGTCCATTTCGTATAACTGTAAGTCTCTCTCAAGGATGAATCGAAACCCATGATTAGTCAGTGCATAAAAACTTTGTTAAAAATCACACTCAGATACCATCTCTATATATGTGGTTAACTAAAATACTAAACCACAAGGCTTTTGAGGAAAACAACAGAAGCCCACTGCATACATGTTGCTTATCATTAAACTCTTCCTGATGTCTACATCCCTAACAGATCACCCCAATTCTACTCTTGAGCTTTATTTTTTCTTCTGTCCCAGGATTAGGAGTGAAGCTGGGACAAGTTTATAGATAGCTACAGTGTTAAGAGACATCATGTACTGTTAACAGGGAGCCCATTTTCATCTCTATGGTCTGCCATCATTAGTTTTCACTACATGCAAATAACCTGTGGTCTGGCTCTCAAGAAACCACTAATTGTGCAGAGGTACTTTTTCCCTTTATTAAGTCATGTATTAGCTTTTAGACATTTTGTAGTTTTATCTACTAAGTGGAAGCCTGTAAAGAAAGGGTCTGTGTTGACAGTCTTCCTGATTATTTTAGAGAAAGTCCTGATAAGCAGGAGTTCTTGCCAAAGAAATTATAAGGTTACATCAGCCGTAGGCACAGATCCAAGCTTACCATTTTAAGACTAACTTTCAAGGACAAAGAAATTACTAGTTCCTTTCAGATGAGAAATTAAATTCTTGACCACAGAGGGTCATCCAATTCCTGGACTTTCCTTATATCAGAAGGTATTCTTAGTCTTAACTAACAAACTAAAGTCACCAAGTGTAGGAGGAAATATGAACCTGGAAGCATTTTACCGTCCTTGTACTACTGGTTTTGTGTTTCTTGTTTCACTTCTAGTTTTCTACCTGAAAAACAGGTGGATGCTATTACCTCCTGCTTCCCTTCAGAGCTGAATTCCTTCTCCTCACACTGAAGACCAGAGGTTCTCAAACTCCGGAATGTACCAGAATTATCTGGAGGACTTAGTAAGCACAGATTGCTAGGATACCTGCAGAGTTTCGCATTCAGTAGGTCATGGATAAGGAATGCACTTGAGATGCGCATTTCTACCAGATTCCCAGGCAATGCAGAAGCTGTTGGTCAGGGACTGCACTTTGAAAATCACTGCTCTGGTCTCTCATCATACCTGCAGCTCCTGAGCATGCTGTGGATGGAGCATACTCACTTTGCCTGGAACACCCTCTGCAGCCTATCTTTGCTACTTAGGTGGTCCTGTAGATTCAGCACACATATCACCTCTTCTGGGAAGCCTTCCATTATGCCCTCTTCTATCCCCAAGACAGGATTAGGTACTCCTTGTCTTTGTTTCTATCATTAGACTATTAGCTTTTAGAGAAAAGATGTTGTATTTTGTTTGTTGTCATTTACCAGTGTCCACTAAAAATGACTCACATGAGGCAAGTACTCAGTAAAGGCTGAATGAATGCACTCTACTCACTAGAGCTTTGTTTTCTTTAACGAAAGGATGTGAAACTCAGAAGTGGGGACCTGCATGTAATCGTGACTGCACTGTTTGTATGAACAATGGTGTCTGCCATGAAGACACTGGAGAATGCACCTGCCCTCCTGGGTTTATGGGGAGAACATGTGAGAAGGGTAAGTCAAGAGTACTTGGTGAGTAGGTTGTAGATTTTAAGTCATAATTGCTGGATCTAGAATTTTAGATCTAGACACAGTTGGGATTGAAAGCTAAATGGACTGTGCTAATCCATATGGTACCTTTGTGTGAATTTTTAAAAAGGTGCCCTTTACTGAAGGTTCTTTATTGCCAATGACTATAAAGTTGCAATGAGTATACAAATCTACAATGTCTATAATATAAATGTCACAGTCTAGGTTTGTGCAGTGCACAACCTACACACCTGTGGGTTTTGGCTCTGTTGTCCTCTCTGAGGGGCAGTTTTATTATCTGTAAAATGAGCCATGAGGGTTTGTTCACCTGCTCATGCCATAGCTGAGACTGGATAATTTTTCATATTCACTGATCTAGGAGATCCCCTTTAAAAGAAGAATCATGCATTTCAAGGGGTTGCATATTTGACTCTGAATCATCTTTTTCTCCTCTGCCCCCAAGCTTGTGAACTGCACACATTTGGCAGAACTTGTAAAGAAAGGTGTAGTGGACCAGAGGGATGCAAGTCCTACGTGTTCTGTCTCCCAGACCCCTATGGGTGTTCCTGTGCCACAGGCTGGAAGGGCCTGCAGTGCAATGAAGGTATGCATACCCCAAAACACAAAAAGTTCTAGCAGGTACAGCAAGAAGATCTGGCATGCTTCTGGAAATCACAGTGTGGGATATACCTAGACTGCTCAGATATTTATTGCAACTATTCATTGCTGAGCTACAGGGTTTTAAATTACAAATCTTTATATCCAAAGTGAATTACACTTTCACATTAAGACTCTGTGCCTCATAAAAAGTGCTTCTTGGGGAGGGAGGGACAAGGGGATTAAATGGCACTATAATTCACAATTACAATATAGGTAGGTCACAGGGAAGGCAGTACAGCATGCAGAAGACAAGTAATGACTCTATAGCATCTTACTATGCTGATAGTGACTGCAATGGGACATGAGTGGGGGCACTTGATAATGTGGGTGAATATTGAAACCACAATGTTGTTCATGTGAAACATTCATAAGATTGTATATCAATGATACCTGAATTTTAAAAAAGTGCTTCTCATATATATCAGCTGAGGACCTTATTAAAACAAAAATTCTGATTCCATAGGTCTGGAATAAGGCCTGAGCTTCTGCATTTCTAACAAGCTCCCAGGTGGTGTTGATATTGTTGGTTTTCAGATCACACTTTGAGTTGGAAGGTCATAGAAGATTTGTTTTTCCCAGTGGGCCATAAATATCAGAGCTTTTAGGTTAGATGCAGATAGGATGGGATTTGAAAATCGAGGAAGTAAAGATTTTTTTTTCTGTGGACCTTTCTTAAATAGTATTAACTTCACCTATGCAAGGATTCCCTCTGCCCTTTCTAAAATACACTTTCATTTGGTGAAGCTCAGTGGTATATGCTTTATATCTACTTTCCAGTATGCATTTGAAATCTACTGTCAAACATGAACCTGCAGCCAAATTTGCCAGAAACTCCCTAATGAATATTAACGTGGTGAATTAGCCTGAGCTCAAAGGTTTTTCAGTATTGACCTCACAAAGTCAGCTTTTTCCACATCTGGCATATTGGGAGCTATGATGGGATCCCCAGAAAATTGGTAACAATGGTGTAGGGAAGAGCAATTCAGTAGAAATATAAATAAGGCATGTGTACAACTAAAAAATTAACAGTAGCCACATTAAAAAAGGAAAAAACAAGCAGATGAAATAAGTTTAGGATTTTATTTAACTCAATATATCAAAAATATTATTATTTCAACATGTAATCATTAGAAAAAAGTATTACAGATGTTTTACATTCTTTTTTTCCATACTAAGTCTTTGAAATCTCAATTGGACTAGCCAATTCAATAGCCATACGGGCAAGTGACTACCATGCTGGACAGCACAGTGCTAGGGGCTCGAAGTAAGAGGGCAAAGAGGAGAAGTACACAGAAGTAAGCTTCAGCTACCTTCAGAACTCATTCAGTTCCCTCTAAATGCTGTGTCCACTCCCATGGAGCACTGATGATGCCACATCAGAGGAATCCTATCTGGCATCAGAAAAGTACATCTTAAAGTAAAAGGTACCTACCTCCAGGTAGGGGAAGATACAGTCCTGCTTTACAAAGAAATTATTAAAAATCATATAAATTAAAAAAAACATGTGCATATGTGAGTGCTTTGCTAGGGCCCAGGAAAGGGTGCATGCTTGTGAGGAGTCTAGAACACAAGCTTCATCAGTTTCATAATGAATGTGTCTCTAGAGCCAAATTCATGAGAGTACATTTCATTAACCCATTCTAGCCCATGTGTGGCCCAAGAAATCACTAAGATTTTATGGAACTGAATTATTCTAATGTTCTCCCAGACTCCTTCCTTGACCTCCAATTACATATGTGTTAGAACCTTTCATATTGTCCTGTAGGTTCCTGAGGTTCTAATGATTTTTTCCTAATTTTTCTCTGTTCGGATTAGATGTCTCCTGAGATAGCTTCAACTTCGACTCTTTCCTCTATCATCTCCATTCTCTTGCTAAGTCCATTTTTGTTTCAGACATTGTGTTTTTCAGTTCTATAATTTTTTTTGTTATTTTTTATAGTTTATATTTCTCTGCTGAGATTTATCATTGTTTAACTTGTTGTGAGAATATCTTCCTTTACTGTGTGAAGCATACTTATTATGGTTGCTTTAAAATTCTTACCCACTATTTCCAACATTTGGTCCCTAAGATTGGCCTCTATTGATATTCTTTTCTACTGAAAATGGTCATAATTCTCCATTTCTTCTTATGTTGAGTAATTTGGGATTGTATCTTGGATATTGTAAATGTTATATTGTAGAGATTCTGGAGTTTGATATATTCCTTTGAGGGATGTTGATTTTATTTTGTTATGTTTTAGCAGGAAATTAACTTGGTAGGACTCAAACTGTAAACTCTGACTCTTAGTCATCAGATCAAACTCAGTTCAGTTGTTTCATCCTTAGCTGGGCTGCTTTGAGTCTCTCTGCTGAGAATATGAGGCTCAGGGACCAGTGAAAAATAAGGACTTCCTCTCTCTGGCTCTGCCTTTTCAGGCTTTCCCTCTCATTTTCCAGTGGCTGTGGGTGCCTTGTTTCCTCTGCTTCTGTAGGCCAGTAAGGCTCCAGGTTTTCTTTGGGGTTTCAGCTTGCCTACCTAATGTCAACTGTGCCCAAACATTAGACTAAAAAGTGAAAAACAGGAAGCACACCATTCCCATCTTCCAAACTTCCCTTCAGAACTTGCCTGTTTCCCTCAACTCTTCAGTGCTTTCTGAAGGGCTGGCTTGCTTTTCTTACTTTTTTCAGGTAATTGTATTTTAAATATAGTTGTTAAGAGAAGTTTAGCTTAGTAAGAGCCTATTCAACTTTCCTGAAAGAAGAATTCCCCAAACTTTTATGTTCCTAGTAATTCAGATAAATCATATACTACCTTATGTGAGTCAGCAAGGTTAATAGCTGAGAGAGTTGATAGGGATTGATAGAAAAATAAAACTAGCCACCTTCAGTCATAGTTTTCTCCCTTCCCCTGTATTAACACTTGTTTTGATGTCTTTGTTTACAGCATGCCAGCCTGGTTACTATGGGCCAGACTGTAAGCTCATGTGCGGGTGTACCAATGGGGAGAGGTGTGATCGGTTCCAAGGATGCATCTGCTTTCCAGAAGGGCTCCAGTGTGAGAAAGAAGGTAAAGCAAGGTAACACTGTAGTTGGGGCCATGTTTGGCACATTTGAACAAAGATTTCCTGGTATGATTGTTGCCCCAGAAACCCATGATCCTCAAGTCACTTCTGTTTCCATTCATAAATTGGGAAGAATACATCCCAAGTCCTTAAGGACAGCATTCTTGTTATTTTCTAGGGCCCTTCATACTAGCCTTCATTTCTCCTTCTACTAGGAATAAACCATGTGTTCTTTGTAGCACATTAAGTGATGACTGGCTATTGGACAACTCTGTCTACCTCTTCTGCTCCTTTTTCCAGGACCAGGCTTTTCCCTGGATATGGCACAACAGGGAAAGAACTATTTTGGAGCAGTCTGGAAAAGGGTATTTTTTTTTAAAGATAGAAAGAAAGAAAAAAGTGGAAAAGGTTACCCTCAAGATGAAATTATAAATAATTCTAGTTCAGAAATTACCCTAGAGCAGGGGCCAGCAGTGACCCACAGACCAAGTCCAGCCCACTATCTTTTATTTCACCAGCTTTATTGAGATATACTTTTACACCATGAAGTTCATTCCCTTAAATTGTACAATTCAATTGTTTTTAGTATGTTCACAGAGTTGTATGGCTATTACCATAATCTAAAATTTGAATGTTGCCATCATATCAAAAGAAGCCTTGTACCTGTGAGCAGTAACTTCCTTTCTCCCCTCCTTCCAGCCCCTGGCAACCATTAATTTACTTTTTGTCTCTACAAATTTACTTATTTTTGACATTTTATACACTGTAAATGAGATCCTATATTGTCTTTTCGGCTAGCTTCTTCTGCTTACCATACTGTTCTGAGGCCTGTCAGTGTCATAGCACATATCAGTGCTTCGTTCCTTTTTATCGCCCTACCATCCATAGCAACACCCAATAGCAACAATGTTCTAAAGAAAACTTCACTGGAACACAGCCATACCCATATGTTGGCAATGTGTCATCTGGGCCTGCTTTCCCACTACAACAACTGAGAACTTATGGCTTGCAAAGCTGAAAATATTCACTACCTAGTCCTTTATAGAGCAAGCTTGCTAACTCCTGCCCTAGAATATACTTTTTTAAATTAACAGAAGCTTATTTTTATTCATTTTCAACATTTTAAAATAATAAATATATGTATTTTTCAATCATATAAATATAAATGTTACAGAAAGAAACATACAACCAGTAAACTCCCTACTCAGAGTAGTAAGACAGGTGTAGCCTTCTCTTTGCTAGTTTTAAAATCAGAGCAAATATGTGAGGGCAATAGCAACAATTGCTTTTTAAAAGCCTTTGGCATGTCAGCTTCACCCTTTCTCTTCTTTCCCCAGTGTTCTGATTTTGCTGTAAGGCAGGGTCTAGGAAGGGGAGGAAATGCCTTGGGACCATCAGAGCATTAGATTGAAAATGGACAGAAAATAAGCATGAAGTTTTGAATTTCTATTTTACATCTTCCTTTCTGTTCTAAGGCTGATGCTGCAAAAGGTGTGAGTCTTCTGATCTAGATCCAGGTCCGAGCTCTCAGAGTCGTCCCCTTTCTCCATCACGGCACCCTACCCTCCACCTTTATATCCACCTTACCTCCATCCATCTGCAGAAAATGCAAGGGGACAATGAAGGAAAGATGGCTTAAAAGTGTCAAGGCACTTTTTTTTTGTAATTTTTATTTCAAATAAGCTTTATGAATAAGGAGTCCCTGCTGAATTATAAATATTTAAAAATATCTGTAAATTGTAAAGCATTACACATAAAAATTTCTCTTGTTACTTATAAGTGTAAATAAAGAGCACTCAAATGTTTATATATTTTCCATTTAGTGAGGGTGCTGCACAAGGAAAACAAACAACTTGCAACTGAATCAAATGATTAAATGTCATGATACATAGATTAGGCAACAACGAATTTACCGATTAGAGAGAAGGCTTAAGTGAATATTTTTGTTAGAGAATAAATTTTAAAATGTTAAACAGTTCTTCATTGTTGCTATTGGTCTGTTTGTTTAGTTCAGTCTTGCTATTTGGTAAAGATCATCTTTGAGGTAAAAAATATTTGGCTTTACATTTTTTCCAAAAGTGTTAAGATGAACTAAAATTGATAATGGGGGAAAAAAATTAAATGGTGGAGGAAGGAGAAGGATAAAAATGTGAAAATATGTAAGATTGGGTATACTTTTTTTTTGTTGATATCATCAATCTACAATTACATGAAGAACATTATGTTTACTAGGCTCCTCCCTTCATCAAGGCACTTTTAATAAAAATTCCCAGGCAAATAACTTCTTAGGCTGAAATATTTTGTAAATTTTCTTATCATAATCTCTTTAAACCTATAGATATTTCAGAGAACTACCTTTGTAGTTATTAGGCCTCTCCTGTCCTCCATACCCTTTACCCACTTCATTCTAGGCCTGAGCAATAGGATATCAATATAAAATATCAATACTGATGCGTTTACCTGGACCCCACCTCCTCCCACCACTGAGAATAACACATGACTGCGGCTCTTGGGCCCCTCCGTGTGCTGCCTTCTTTACTAAGTGGGGGCTGTTTTCAGTTACAAATGCTCCAAGGTTCTCTAGGACCCTGCAGTTTGAAATCCAATTGTTATTTTTCAGGATAATTCATTGTCTACTCTGTAGACATTAGGCGTGGTCCTTTTTGGGTACCTGATACCTTTTTTGATACTAGAAACAATTTTTCTACTTTCAATGTTGGCAGCAATATTTTTAGATTTGGCTGTTGACTAGTAACTGATTTGGGAGAGTTATTTTCCACTCTACTTCTTGGATGTAAATGTGAATGTTTTTAATCATCTACTTGCAGACTTCCCAATCAGTGAGACATCTCTCATATATCAAAACAGAGGATCATATTGCTGAACCCAGGGTTCTTGGCTGAATGGAAGAGCTAGTTTTCAGTTTTGTGAAAATTCTTGGGCCAGGGGAGATATCACCATGATGATCATTTTAATACTGAGATTGTTTGTCCCAGGGCCATGGAGGGGGGCACAACATTATGGGGAAGAGTGGAGACTCTAGATTCATAAAGGTTTGAGTTTGAATCTGAGCCTCACGTCTCCTCATCTATAAAATGGGGACCACAATAGCACCCACTTCCCAAATGTACTGTATGATGACAAAACAGTGTAATATTCGCAAAGTTCTTTCCCTGTGCATAACTTATTAAATGGTAGGTTCTTTTATTATCACTTCTGTTGCTGTGTTAAAGGTTAGATTCCACAGTGCTGTTTTCTTAATCTAGGCATGCAAAGAAAGACCCCAAAGATAGAGGATTTGCCAGATTACATTGAAGTAAACAGTGGTAAATTTAACCCCATCTGCAAAGCATCTGGCTGGCCACTACCTGCTAATGAGGAAATGACCCTGGTGAAGCCAGATGGGACGGTGCTCCAGGTAAGAGTTATTCTTCATCTGCCCTGCTGAAACCACTAGATGCTTACAGTGTAACAATCACCCGCTGAAGGCTAGATTCCACACATGGTGTGGCAGTGCCCTATACCAGAGTATTGTTAGCTTTGACAAAATGCCACAGTCCTGGGGAGGGAAAGCAGATTCACTGATTCCTCCTGCACAGCCAGCACTGCAGTGCAAGGTTGGAAATATGTCACCACAGTGGAACTGATGAAGCTGAGTGCCATGGATGGCACTTATCCTGCAGAACTTTCTAGCAGTATGTGGGAGGAAGTATGTCAGCCTGTGCAAGCCCACCATATCCCCATGTCTCCAGCTCCCATATCAGGAAGTATTATGTGGTCCAGTGGCCACAAAAGGGTTTTGTACCCCATGAATTGGCAAGATGCATGTGCTACCTACCAGGCGCTATCAGGATATGGAGATTTGATGACTGGCCTATTCCTATTAGGCTCACTGTAGCAGCAGTTAGTGGAATATAGGAGAGGAAAGTTCAGCATAACCCATGTGACTCTAGACACATCTATTCCCACACCTCCAATTCAGAAACCATGAGTCCTGAGTTCCCTCAGGTCTGAGTGCAACTTTGGGTCCCCTCCCTCTCCACTTGACCTCCTTGCTGGTGCTCACTGGCCAGGGCCCTGTCACAGACTTCTTTGCTGGAAAGGACTAAGCTATTTTTCCACCGTTTCCCTTCTCTCTTCCAAGTTGGACAGGAACCACCCCAAATATCTGTGTCACAAGTTGATGTATTTTCTTATATAAATATTTTTAAATCATTATTTCATTTTTTTCTCAAAGATGACTGAAAATCAACTTGACAAGAAGACATATCTAAGTGACCTCTTAGTGGCAGGATATGTAAAATGTGCCATTACCATTACCTGATGTTTCTACCCCTCAGATGTTCCCGATTCTACTCAAACATCCTGTTAAGTAGTAGAAGCCAACGGACAACTTCCAAAGTTCTGTTGGCCTTTCCAGGAGTTCATGGAAGTGACCACCACCACCCTGTGAGGTCAACCATAATACATATAATGTCTTCCGTGACATTACTTGTCCTTTTTTATTTTTGCAGAAGTGGAGACTGCCTGGGTGGAGTTAAGCAGCTAAGGAATTGGTCAAAAGTGGTAGAGCTGGGCTGTGAATTCAGGCCCATGTGTCTTCAGAGCCCTGACTTTTTCTGCAGCTCCATATTCAGTGGCCCCTCAAATACTGTAGGAGACCATTTTGTCCTCTCACCCAGCCATCTCTGTATTAATCAGAAGGGTACAAATATTACTAGACACAATGTAAAAGGAATTAGACTCCTAGCTTGTAAGTGTTTACCTCACACTCCCAAAGACACAAATACAACAGCAGGATCTGACAGGGAATCAATCCAACATAAACTTTCAGGGCTACTACAATAGCTTTGGAAATAAGCCAATGATTATATTAGCATTGCATTTAGCTTCTTAATCTCTCCTAGAGAGCTTCTTATTAAACAATGAGATGGGGTCAGTGTTATGGACCTTTGTGTTTATGCCTCCCTGGAAGCTTTTATTTGTATTTGACCTTTCCAGCCAAAAGACTTTAACCATACGGGTCACCTCTCAGTGGCCACCTTCACCATCCACCGGATCCTCCCCTCTGACTCAGGAGTCTGGGTCTGCAGTGTGAACACAGTGGCTGGAATGGTGGAAAAGCCTTTCAACATTTCTGTTAAAGGTAAGCTCCATTTTCCAGAGGGAGAGCTCGTATCCTCAACGTGTGATGTTTATGAATTGCTGGGTGCTGCTTTTAGATAGAGATGTTATCTGACCACTAAAATGCCTTTCGGATATTTTTCAAGATGCTGAATCTTTAAATAAAATTCACATGCATGAATATGGAAAGAAGGATTGAGTAAATGGCCTTCGGAGTCACACAGTTCTGGGTTTGATTTTTGTCCTGTATAGCTAGGACCCTTGTGTGTGGCCCAGGCTGTGCTATATAATAAATATGAATGCTTTTTTTTCACATATCTGGGGCTTCACATATTCATTCCTCCTATGAATTAGTATTTCAAAATTCAAATTACTCTAAGTGGATATATGCACATTTGTGGCTTGAGGAAAGAAAGAAAGTGGAGGAGAATCCCAGTTAGCTTGTTTGGTATACATAGATACAACACGTTGTAAATCGAGAAGTTACTAATGAGTACATTTAAATAAAAACACCTAGCAGCATTCTGTTATATATTCTAGAAAGGCACTGGACCGAATGCCTCACATCCTTTATCTTATTAAAGTTTATAAGGACTGTGTGCGACAGATACTGTTCTCCCCACTTTACCAGGCAAGAAACTGGTTCAGGGTTCAGTTAACTTGTCTAAGGCAGCACATCTGGTAAGCAGCAAATCTTAGTTTTGAAGCCGGGTCTTTCACTCCAAACCCTGCGCCATCTTTTCTAGACCATTTTTGGGTAATGTCAGAGGTAATTTCCATAAATGAAATGAATATAAATACCCAGAGCATAATCTTTTTTTTTTAAAGCCCAATAACAGCAGTAGCATAAATACAGTCTCATAGATTTGGACTCTGCCCTAAGAATTCAGGTAAATAATTTCAGAATCTTCAGCATTTTTTGGATTACTGAAAAAAGCCCAGATCTGCTTTCTTCAGTAGTACTTTCACATGGCCAAAATAATTTCTTCTATGTTCTTAGAAGAAAGGAAATGATACAAAGACAAGACCAATTCTCTTATTTTTAAGCTTCTTGGAATGTTTGCTGCCCGTGGAAAATAAATAATATGTCCAAAGCAAACCATATTGCTATCATTCAGAAGATCCACTGGTTCTAATTTTTATTTTTTGATAAGAGATGCAGCACACAAGATTAATGCATAAAAGCATCTCTAGTTACAAGTTCCCAATGCCTCATCACTCTCGTACTGACTCACATCCATTGAATGGAAATAGCCATCAGATAAATTAATCAGTGTCTTTAATCATGGTATTTAAAAAATGCATATTAGTCTTTTAGTACTAGAGTGCAAATTGGTACAACCACTTTTGAAAAGTGGCAATGTACACCAAAGCTAAGCTTGCACCTACCCTATATCCCATATCCTCGATATGCTCAAAAGAGATGAGTGCATGTGCTCAAACAGACATCTTCAGTACTGTTCAGAGCAGTTTTATTCATAGTAGCACCAAACTGAAATTATCCCAAATATCCATCTATATTAGAAGGGATAAAAGGGATAAATTGTGATATTTTAATATAGAATTGTTTGCTAGGGCTACCAAAGCAAAATACCACAGACTGGGTGGTTTAAACAAATTAAATTTATTTTCTCACTGTTCTGAAGGCTGGGTAATCAAGGGATTGGCAGAGTTGGTTTCTTAGAGCACAAACATCCATGGAGTCCAGTGCAGAGTTTTACAAACTCTTTATTATCATCCCACCAGAGAGGCCCTTTAGAAATCTTATTCCAAACTCTCCTCTAATCATAATAAAATGCTAATATCTTGGACAGGCTATATATCAGTTTATATACTGTGGCCATTTGGAAGGCCACAAGCCATTGTAAAATTTAAGATTTTTTCATTCCCTGAGAACCAATTTTCACCTCCCTGATTGTGCTGTTCCACCCCATTGAGAATGCATGGTCTTTGAGATCAGAGATTATTCTGCATTATTTGGGTGTACCCAGTCTAATAACATGAATCCTTAAAAGCAGAGAAACTTTCCTGACTGTAGTTAGAAAGAGGTATCACAATGGAAGAAGGGTCAGAAAGATACGACATTGTTGACACTGAAGATGGAGGAAGGGGCCGTGAGCCAAGGGGTACAAGGCAGTTTCTAGAAGCTGGAAAGACCAGGAAGCAGATTCCCCCCTTGAGCCTCCAGAAGGGAGCACAGCCTTGCCAATACCTTGATTATAGCCCAGTGAAACCCATATCTGACTTGAATTGTAAGATAATAAATGTGTTGCTTTAAGAAAAAAAGAAAAAGAGGGGCAGAGGGAGAGCACACGTAGTATTACTATGAATAATAAATTCTGAAAATTGCAATGAAGGAACAGAAGGTATATGACACCAGAGCCTACGGATCTGAGGTAGCCTCCATGAAAAAGTGACATCAAAGCTGAGAGCTGAATGGCCAGGACAAGATGACCAGAGAATAGTGGGAGGTCTGGAGCATCCCCTGGGGGAAGGACAGCAGCTACAAAGAAGCTGAGATGAAAGGAGCTTGGTGCAGTTAGTGGGATGAACTGGAAGGTCATAGGTCAGGGAAAGTAGCAGCAGGGGCTCGATTGTGCAAGGCCTGGTAGGCCACTGGATAAATTTTAGATTTTATTCTAAGTATAATGAGAATCCATTGAAAAGTCTTGAGCAGAGGTGTGCTTATATTTTAAGAAAGCAGTTTGATTGGATAATGGTTTAGAGGGGCAAGAGCAAAGTGGAGAGATCACAGAGCAGGTGATCGCCAATCAAGGGATTGGCAGAGTTGGTTTCTTCTGAGGCCTGGCCCCTTGGCTTATAGATGGCTGTCTTATCCCTCTGTGTGTGTGTGTCCTATAAGGACAACAGCTAGATTAGGAATGACCCTAATGATCTGATTTTTAACTCAAGTACTCCTTTAAAGACACTACCTCCAAATACAGTTACATCAGAAGGTACTAGGGGTTAAGATTTCAATATATGGATTTTGGGGGAACACAATTCAGCCCACAATACTATACAACAGAATATTATGCAGCAATAAAAAAGACTTCCTGCAGCAATATGTATGAATCTCAGATCATTATAATGAACAAAAGAAAATACATGCTTTATGATTCCATTTATCCAAAACTAAAGCATAGGCAAAAACCAACCTATAGTGACAGAAGTCAGAAGATTAGTTCCCTATGACTGGAAAGGGCACAAGGGTACTTCTGGAGGGCTGGAAATATTCTCTATCTCAATCTGGCTAGTGGTTACATAGGTATGTATGTAGATAAAGTCCCTTGAGTTAAATGCACTTAAGATTTTGCATTTTACAATATACATATCTCAATAAAATGATTAAAAGACAAAAAGTAAAATGATAAAATTACTAAGGGGGAGCTTTTATAGTAATGTTTTCACTCTTATGAAAGTGTCAGTTTTATAAGAGACTGTCACTAATGGCTATAATTAAACATGCATCTATGGTTTAAACAAACAGGTGGCTTATCTGATCATTCAAATTATTGTATAATCATTGATCATACAGTCATTGAAGCATGGCTTAAAGAATGGATTTGTTCATGCAAGTGCCTTCTTTTCAGAAAATGACCTAAGTAAAATGTGTATGCAGTCTTACCTAACTTAACATTTGCATGGCCTGTCTCCAGACAGGGATACTGCTTGATTAGGGTTACTGGCCTTCTTATCCTGACCGTGGAGAACTTCCTCCTATATCATCATTCACTTAGTCAATAGAAGGTACTGAAGGCCCATTACATTTCAGGCCCTGTTCTAGGGAATTCAGCAGTGAATGATTCAAAAAAAAAAAAAAGCTCTTCCATCATGGAGCTTACATTCCTATGGGGAAATAAACAATGAACAAATAAGTAAATATTTAAACAGTGAAAAGATATGTAAGCATTTAGCATTGCTAAAATGCTAAGTGCCTTGGAGAAAACTAAGGCAGAAATGGGGATAGAGAATGCTGGGGCAGGGCTGGAGGGGTGACTAATATTAAATGGAGTATCAGGCTTCCTGAAGAAGATGATAATGATGAGCAAAAACTTGAAGGTCATCTCTAAGGATGGTGGGTCAAAGCAATAAGATGGAGAAAGGCAGAATTATTGAACATTGAATGTCCCCTGAAATCTGAGATTCTACATTATGTAAGTTACATATGTTCTTGGGGAGGGAAAAAAGATAATAGTTATGCATTTCTAAGAAGGTTGGGCTACTGAGGGTACAGAGCTAATTATTCAGTTGACAACATTGATAGAGCACAAACATCCATGGAGTCCAGTGCAGAGTTTTACAAACTCTTTATTATCATCCCACCAGAGAGGCCCTTTAGAAATCTTATTCCAAACTCTCCTCTAATCATGATAAAATGCTAATATCTTGGACAGGCTATATATCAGTTTATATACTGTGGCCATTTGGAAGGCCACAAGCCATTGTAAAATTTAAGATTTTTTCATTCCCTGAGAACCAATTTTCACCTCCCTGATTGTGCTGTTCCACCCCATTGAGAATGCATGGTCTTTGAGATCAGAGATTATTCTGCATTATTTGGGTGTACCCAGTCTAATAACATGAATCCTTAAAAGCAGAGAAACTTTCCTGACTGTAGTTAGAAAGAGGTATCACAATGGAAGAAGGGTCAGAAAGATACGACATTGTTGACACTGAAGATGGAGGAAGGGGCCGTGAGCCAAGGGGTACAAGGCAGTTTCTAGAAGCTGGAAAGACCAGGAAGCAGATTCCCCCCTTGAGCCTCCAGAAGGGAGCACAGCCTTGCCAATACCTTGATTATAGCCCAGTGAAACCCATATCTGACTTGAATTGTAAGATAATAAATGTGTTGCTTTAAGAAAAAAAGAAAAAGAGGGGCAGAGGGAGAGCACACATAGTATCACTATGAATAATAAATTCTGAAAATTGCAATGAAGGAACAGAAGGTATATGACACCAGAGCCTACGGATCTGAGGTAGCCTCCATGAAAAAGTGACATCAAAGCTGAGAGCTGAATGGCCAGGACAAGATGACCAGAGAATAGTGGGAGGTCTGGAGCATCCCCTGGGGGAAGGACAGCAGCTACAAAGAAGCTGAGATGAAAGGAGCTTGGTGCAGTTAGTGGGATGAACTGGAAGGTCATAGGTCAGGGAAAGCAGCAGCAGGGGCTCGATTGTGCAAGGCCTGGTAGGCCACTGGATAAATTTTAGATTTTATTCTAAGTATAATGAGAATCCATTGAAAAGTCTTGAGCAGAGGTGTGCTTATATTTTAAGAAAGCAGTTTGATTGGATAATGGTTTAGAGGGGCAAGAGCAAAGTGGAGAGATCACAGAGCAGGTGATCGCCCTGAGTCTGAGCAGAGAAGTCTAAGAGGGCTTGGAGGAAGTGTAATGGCTCTCACCCTCTGCCACCACCTAAGAGCAACAAAACCCCAAAGTGTAAGTACTAACCCAATTGTTGAACTTTTATTTAGTTCTTCCAAAGCCCCTGAATGCCCCAAACGTGATCGACACTGGACATAACTTTGCTGTCATCAACATCAGCTCTGAGCCTTACTTTGGGGATGGACCAATCAAATCCAAGAAGCTTTTATATAAACCTGTTAATCATTTTGAAGCTTGGCGGCATATTCAAGGTAAGGTTTGGGCAGAATGGTTCCAGCTGGAGATGTGGCACCAGGAAAGAAATTTTCCCCAAATGTAGAAATCCTTTCTCCTAGTCTCAACCCTCTGGTGGAAGAAGGCTCCATTTCAGAGTACTCAGGGAAAAGTGGGGGGTCCTCTGAGTCCTGGAGCTAATGTTCTGGAAGTCATGATGTACTGTGGGACACAGAACCATCTTCTGTATCTGTAGTCCTTTACCAGTAGCTCCTTACCAGGCTTCTCTGCATCTAGTTAATCTATCTTGCTTGGTTATGGTAAAAGATACATGTTTATGTCATAAATACGGTAACAGGAAGCCCAGGACCTACTGGAAAGGCAAAGAGAATTACTGAGGGGGGATTGTTGCTGCTCTCTTGAATTATTTATTCTTTTTCTCAATAAGAGTCTTGTCCTGCCGGCAGGCTCCTTATGCTCAGAGAGTTTGAGAGGAATTTGGACTTGAAACATTTGCGCTGTGGCAGACTGGCCTGGTGCAGGGGAGTGGTGGCTGTGGGCAAAGAGTGCTACATGCCTCCCTCCCAACTTCCTGAAAGAAAAAAAATAAAATGTGATAAAATGTTGAAAGTTCATGAAAACAGTTAAATTTACCTATTTGTTAAATTTAGTTTACAACACAGATTACAGTTGTTTGTTGCCCAATGATGTAAAATCATAATATTTAAAAAGAAAGCTGAGCATTATCAATTGGCCATGCTGTTTTAATTGTGCCATCTTATAGAGAGACCTGCCACTACTGGGCTTGTAGGTTAGCATGCATCCCTCTGCTGGTACTTGTCTCACTATACCTGTGATTTCCTAAAAAGGGCTCTCTACACACTGTATGTGGATAACTGAGGAAGTTACAAAAAAGGATAACAAACGGATGGTTTTCAGCTTAATAATGATAGCTGACCTGGGTTCACTAAATAATGTCATGACATTATTACTGAGCTCTTCACATTCCATTGCAGACTCAACCAAATTCAGAATCCCAGTGATAGAAGGCTGATTTGATGGATTTATGTTTCCAGCAATCAATATCAATGGTTAGGTCTTATTAAAAAGCAGCTTTTTATTTTTTTCATATGGTGGGAATAGTCTATTATCTCCTTCTGTAAGTGGATATCCACAAAGTTGTCTTCTAAGAACTCTTAAACACTGACAACTGGAAATGTATCATATGGTAAGGCAATTATCTACCTCTGCAATATCCATGGAGAAACAGGCTAGTGAAAACAAATAGCTAAGGAGAAAAGAAGCATATATCACTAATTTGTGGGATCTGTTTTCCAGTACTTCAGAACCCCTCATGTGTAGTGATTTGACCATTACAAATCCGTTACCCAAGTCACTGTAAACAAACCCTGGAAGAGTCTCTTCTCTTGATGGCTTGGTTGCAATAACTGTATTTGAAAACAGTAGAAATCAAATTATTTTATAATATTCTGAGATTGTTTTTCCTTAAATCTGAGTGGTGTGCCATATAGTTGAAGATCTGTGTGATTTTATGCTACAAATTAAGAGAAAATCACTAGAGCAGAAATGATAAGTGGCACAGAGATATTTATGTTAATGCATACATTGTAATCTGGAAACTTCCTTTAAAAAGCTTTATTTTCCTTATATTAGGAATGGTGAGGCCCTGAAGGTGGAATTGCCTGTTCCACTAAGAATCTGTGTTTTTAAAAACCAAACAGTTCACATCACAAACAACATTCCAGTGTAAAGAATGTAAAACAATGCCAACTTAAGTTTCTTGGATTTTCTCTCTTCTCAGTGACAAATGAGATTGTTACACTCAATTATTTGGAACCTCGAACAGAATATGAGCTCTGCGTGCAGCTGGTCCGGCGTGGAGAGGGCGGGGAAGGGCATCCTGGACCCGTGAGACGGTTCACGACAGCTTCTATCGGTCAGTTGAAGCAAACAGCATTTATTCCTGAGCTGGGTGGGAGGGGAAGGAAGGGGAAAGAGGAAGGAAGACCAGGAAGGGTGGTGGTGGGTGAGCGGGTGGGTGGGGATAGAGGTGGAAGGAGTTTGCTTTTGAATGGGTGGGGAAGTGACAGGAAGGCTAGCAACTTGGAGCCAAAGCGTTCTTTTATTTGGACTGTCCTCCTGGTCTGTCTCCCTGGGGGAGGGTGTCTGCAGCACTCCAAGGGGCCGAGAGGGAAGCAGATGAGTCTTCAGGAAGCAGGGCCATCCCCCAGGAGTTGGGATTTAGTAAGTAGCAACTGTGCTGAGTCTTGGCTCCTGGGTTTTACCACCAGCTTCCTGTTTCCATCTTAAGGGCCCAGGCCAGGTTCTTGCCACATAATTACTTCAGAAATCCCAGATGGTTTATTTTCAAAACTAAGTTCTAATTTTTCAAAGTAATTCATGCACATAGTTAAAACATCAAATAGAAAGAAAGGCTTTTATCTAAAGAACATCAGTCCCGTTCCCACCCGTCCAGTCCTGTTTCTATATAGGCAGCCACTTTCATCTCCTCAAGTTATTTCTTATAGGATGTATCTCCATGTTTCTAAATCAGTGGTTCTCCAACATTCTTGCCCCTGTCCATCAGAATCACCTAGGGAGCTTATTAAAACACATGTCTATCCCAGGAGTTTCCAATTCAATAGGTTTGGGGCTCGAGACTTGCATTTCTAGGAAGTTTGTAAGTGATGTTTGGTGTGACCAGTCCTGGGTCCACACATTCTAAGATATGCAGCAACATTTCTTTGATCAATGTTAGTATCCATTGGCTTTCCATTGTGTTAAGTGAGAAGCTCTTGCATGTACGAAGGCTCCCTGATGCTAATCTGGACTCCAGCTTTCTGCCACCCAGGCACCCTCCTCTGAAACACTGAAGTGATCCCTTGCAAGGATCTCTTCCAGGGTTCACTGTGTATAATCTTTGGCTACTTTCTCCTGGTCATAGCTTTACAGTTTCAGCTTAAGCTCACATATACTTAATTCCATTACCTTGAAGGTAGAATTATCATCTTCTTCACTTTATAGATTGGAAAGTAGACTCTCAGAGTGGTTACTAACTTGCCCACGGTTCGGCCATCACCGTGTAGGCCTGCAGACTGAGCATCCTTTTGTTTCTCTAATTATTATTATTATTACCTAGGAGCCCAAAGGCACTATTTCTTTATTACAATTGATAACTTCCTATTGCGTAGTCCATTTACTAAAGGCAAAGGAATTGGGAAGGACTTAGTGAGAAGCCGGAAGGACCAGGCAGCTCTTCTGCAGGGCACGCCCTCCCTCTGGACTCGCCACTGCACATGCCCCACTTAGTTCTCTTTTGACCAGCAGCATCCTTGGAAGACCAAATGGGCCTCAAAAACTGGTGCTTGTAGAAACATTACACAGTAGGAAATGGTTTCCTGGTGGTGAATACAAAACAAAAACAGAAACCACCAGAAACTCTATGTAAGTTATAGGATAAAGGGATCTCCGTAACTATAATCAAAGGGGCCTCTGATATGTGGTCAGGTTGCAGCTAAAAGGCAAATGGTAGTTAATTCTCTCTTGGGTCAGTGTTGATGAATCAAAAAGGGGAAGGCCGTAGTGTGACTCAGATGGAAAGCATTTATGGAACAGAACGTGAAGCACTCACAGACCCCACACTGTACTGTCTTCAGCCCTCAGAATATGTTCCAGCCAGGAGGAGGTATTTAGAGGCCTCTTGGAGTATTTCAAAATAGTTCTCAGGGGTGGGTGGGAAGAGAATTATTGAAGGTTCTTCTTTTCCCATCATTTGAATGTTGATGTTTGTTTTTTAATTCGTATCATCTGGCAGTTGTACTATTTATTGTAAGTGTGTTGACTGAGTAGTGGAGCCAGGAGGAGGGAAAAGAGATCACACTCTGAACACACGGCAGAAAGGGGACAGGCAGGGAGGGGTGAAGGCTAAGCCCTGTTCCCGAAGGAAAGGAAATCGGTAGCGACTCTGTATCGAGTTACTCCTCTAACCACCACAGGCTTGGAAGGTTTACGTGTATGTTCCCAAAGGCCGACCCTCTGTCCTGCTCTGTCATTGTAAGCCTGCCTCATGGGTCTGGGTGGTTTATTTTGGAACTTAAAATTTAAAGCTGAGAAAAGGAGTTGACACCTCCTCTCTCAATTTGCAAAGGTTACAGAGACTAATAACTACTTATAGTAATAAGAATATAATATTCAATAGTTCCAATAACTAATTTGCAGAGTATTATAGAGAATAATAACTATTGCTTTCACATAGTGTTAAGTAAATTGCAGGATCTGATTGCTGCTTCTCCCTAATCTAAGGACAGTCAGAAATGATGAGTGAGGGTCACTCTCTCCGTTGGATGACAACAGACCCTCCCTATTACCTCTAGCTAAGAATTAGAACAGTTTCTCAACTTTATTTTTTCTCTTAAATTATTGCCCCTTAAGGAGCTTTTTAGTTATTTTTGTGTTTAGGACAAAATGTCTGTTTGTCCTAATGCCCCACCTGCCATAAATTCTAATATCACAGATCTGTTTATATGTGCCAATTCACAAACCATTGTAATATCTAAAAGGTTCTCAGACCCATGAACCAATCTTTGCCCCCTTAGGAGCAGTAATGTCCTCAGTGAGAATGCATGAGATAGAGGATCCCTATTCTATGTTTTACATCTGGAATTTAAATATCGATTTACTATTATTAACTTAAAACACACAGGTTCCCCATCTGTCCATTGACACAAGACATGACATCTTAGGGAGGGAGGGTGGGAGGGAATGCTAATAGGGCTCCTAACACCTTCCAAGTATTTTCATATCCATTATCCATTTACTACTCCTGAGTACAGAAGATGACTACTTTCATTTTGTATTAAAGGTAAACTTGGAGAGTTTATGAATGTTCCAAGGTCACAAAACTAAAGTGGCATGCTCCTGTCTCTTTGATTTCAAAAGCCGTATTGCTTCCATTCAGTTCTTGGGTAGCCCAGGTTCCTGTGGATATTCTGGTCAGGCAACACGTGATCAGAGCAGGGCCAGGCTGGACCCCACCCCACACCCCACAGTGGTCAGGGTGCCTGGGATCCTCCTTGCTAAGGGAACTAACCCTGAAAGTGCTTTAAAATGTATCACCCAAAATTGTATCAGAAACATTGAAGAATCATTCACAGTCCCACAACCTTGGAAAATCCAGTTTTTATTTTTATCAGTTTTCTTGTTAACCTTCACCAGTTGTAGACATAACTTATCAGGCTGCAATCAGAGTTTTTTCTCATGTATTTTAAATATTTTTATTGGGCTTCCATACTTTTCCAATTATGCATGAAATCCATTAGCTACATCATTTGTTAAAGCATTTGCCTATTTGAAACATTTAGGTTTCTTCTGATTGTGTGCTATTATAAATAATAATATAATGAACGTGTTCATGCACAGAGGCTTTTTTTCTTCCTTTGGGTTATTTTTTTCAGGATAAATCCTGGGTAGATAGATTATAGGGCCAAAGCATATGGTCATTTCTAGAGCTCTCGAAAAATTTCCAAGTTGTTCTCTGAAGGGTTTCTATTCTCCTATTACAGTTACTCAAACTGCATACTAAATTATTGTAAAGATTTGAAATCTTGGTAGAAAAAAAGCTGCTAGCTTTTGTTTCTTTGATAGCTTGTGCAGCTGTTTAATATCTAGAAGCCACGGTAATTCTGTAAAGCTGCCCACTGGGGCTGTTTGTCACCTTACCCTAAGTAGAAAGAGTGATCGTTCTGGTTTCTTCTAGGTCTCCCCCCTCCAAGAGGTCTCAGTCTCCTACCGAAAAGTCAGACCACTCTAAATTTGACCTGGCAACCAATATTTCCAAGCTCAGAAGATGACTTTTATGTTGAAGTGGAGAGGAGATCTGTGCAAATGAAGAGTGATCAGCAGAATATCAAAGTACCAGGCAACTTGACTTCAGTGCTACTTAACAATTTGCATCCCAGGGAGCAGTACTCAGTCCGAGCCAGAGTCAACAGCAAGGCCCAGGGGGAATGGAGCGAGGCTCTCACCGCGTGGACCCTGAGCGATGGTAAGGAACTCACGGGCCCACCCTTGCCTGAATGACATTTGGCTACTGCTATTTTCACTTGTCTGTCATCACTTTAAGACTGTTTCTTAGAAACCATAAAAGGCAGCTAGTTGCAAGTGAAGGCTAATTAGTGCCCCCACCCCAAGCACCGAATCATTTTACTAACCAGTGATAGGAAAGCTCCATGGATTGCAGCTGCAATAATTCAGGCAGGACTATGCTAAAATTTACCTCTCCTTGGTATGGAGTGATTTATTAAATAAATTAATAACATGAATAAGGTTTTTTAGGGCTTGTTGACTATGTTACAGGACACTTCAGGATGGCCACTATCCCTATGCACTCAGGTGCTGATTAATAGCAGATGGGTCTTTCTCAGTTTTAAAAGCCAAGTACCTTTGCTTGAAAAATCTTCGTAACAGATCATTGTTCGAGTTACTATATATATCTGAGGGTAAAAAAACCAATTTTCTTTCAAAATATTCTGCAGCTCAGAGTTTTTTCTTTTTTAGATTGGTCATTTAAAATTCCTTGGAATTTCTTGGGTTTCTTTGTAGTATTGGAAGTTTTTCATCATTAAGCAGAAATTCTATTTTGATTCACTGCCTGTGAACTTTGCATTTGGAGTCCTTGAAAGACTGGAAAGCCACACCAACTACCACTTAGGTTAGGATTATGGGGTCCTATGTCAACCCCCAAAGTTGGAGGCTTTCTTCTTCAGCTGCAGCTGTACTTCCTCGGTCACAGATGTGGAAACTGGCTGGGTTTCTCCAGCCTCTCCCTTCTTAGATCAGTGACATGTGGGAGTCTCGACTGTTCTGTCAGCATTCAGGGATTCTTCATCTTTAAAAAAAAACTGTGCGATTTAAAAGTTACAGAGCAGTGCAGAGAATAATGCAACGAACTCTCCCATTCCTACCACTCAAGATTAACAGCTGTTAACATTTCGTCCTATTTGCTTTCAGCCATTTTGTTGATTTGTGGAAGTAATAACACAATACAGATAAATCAAAATCCCCTTTGACCATCATCCCTACTCTTTCTGTTCCCCTCTCCCCAGAGACAACCAAAATTATGAGTTTGTTATGTATCTTTTCATTCAATGTTGTCCACTTACTGCACTACATACATCCATAAGGGCACATACACAAACTTTTTCTTCATCTTTATTTAAGAAACGTTGTGATTTATATCTATCCATGTTAATTTTAGACCTGGCATATGCTTATTTAACTTCTGTATAACATAAGTACGATATTATTGTACTTATCCATTCCCTTTTAGGTGGACATATGGGTTTTCTATTTTCTTTTTCTTTTTTTTAAAAAACATCACAACCAAAAATTCAATGACTATCCTTATATAGTGCATGTCCCCATGCAAAAATGTCAGAGCTTTCCTAGGGAACATGTCCAGAAGTAGAACTGATGAGCAAATTCCCTACGAAATGTTCTTCAGTGTGTATTATGCCCAGGAGTTGAGGAGAGTACCATTTTCCCCATATCCATCTCTGTATCTATATCTTCTCCCTGTATCTGTATTACTTGATATTGTTGGACCTTTTTATTTTTGTCAGTCTTAAAGGTAAAAAGTGGTACTTCACTGTTAATTTCCATTTCCATTTCCTTGATAAGTAGCAAGGTTGAGAGTCTTGGGCATTTGGATTTCTTTGTTTTTATGTATTTGTTGATAACCTTTGCCCATTTGCTATTGGTTGTCTTATATTACTGATTTGTAAAAATTGTTTATACAATTTGGATACTCATCTTTTTAAATACATTGCAAATATACTCTCCTAGTCTCTTTATTTTCACCTTGTTTGTGGTGTCTTTTACTCCATAAATGTTACATGTAGATGTAATCGGACCTTTTAATATTTACCTTTATGGTTTCTACTTTTTGTTTGGAGATAATAACTACCCCAAAGTCATAAACATTTTCTGTATAATTTTTCTAGTAGTTTTAGTGTTTTGTTTTGCATATTTAGGTCTTTAAGATATAGGGATATTATTTTAGGTCATGGTGTATTTTAATCTTTTTTATTTCAATCTTATTCATTCACATATGGCGAGCTAATGGTCCCAGTGCTGTATACTGAATAGTTCCCCTAGTGATTTGTGATTCTTTCTGTATCATATGCCCAGTTGTATTGGTTTTGCATTTCTGGACATTCTGTTCTCTTCCACTGATCTTCGTTTTTGTTCTTTGTGTTTTTTCCTGTACCATTCCCAACCTGTTTCAATTACTATAGATTTATGAAGTGTCTTGGTAACTGTTGGGTGAATCACTACTTTCTTTTTCAAAGTTGTCTAGATGTTCATTCACTCTTCTATATAAGTTTTACCCTCATTAGAATTATACATGATCAAAACCACATCATCAGCTATCATATTTATAGGATTAAATGAAAACTAACTAGTAATCACTGAAAGTGGGCTTGCCTTGGGAGGTTGTGTGAATTTGATGGGGTGAGGGTGTTATGCTGGTGGTAGTAGTAGAGATGTTGATTGGCAGGGTGGGAGCTGGTCCGTATAGGATCAGGAAATTAGGGCAAGGAGGATGTGGGTGACAACACTTCAGTTTTAACTGAGATATTTGTTAATATGCTATGTTGTTGGCATTGGCTGATCTTGCATATAGGCTGTTCAGAAGTAAAAGCAATGTTTCCAGTTATAAAGTTTATGTTGGTGCCCAGCCTAGCAGTTCTATCTGGTCCAAGTGTAAGGAGTAGAATGAATTAGACTTGGCATCTGGCCCCAACATATGTAAAAATATGTGTATAATTTTTTGAATATCCAGAATAACTCATTTGACACTTACAATGACTTAAATGAAGAAAGTACAGTAGGAATTATCATCACATTTAACAGATGAGGATCCTTAGGCAAGGTGGAAGGCTAAATAACTTGATCACAGTTATACAACTAGTATGGTATTAAGACTCTAAGTTGCATTTCAGTTCCATGTTTGTTTGTTTGTTTTGTCAAACCATGCTACCCTTTTGTCTCTGGATGGGCAACCAGCTGTTCAAAGAGAGATCAATTTTTGGAATTCTTTTAGTAGTCATATTCCACTTCTAAATTGCTTACGATCTGATTAGCATTTCCTAAAGTGTTTTAGAAATTAGAGTCACCTGAGGAATCTGTAGACTGCTGGGTTCAGACTCACTGAATGTAAATCAGAGGTGCAGTAAGCTAGCCCAAAGGGTGATTTCTTTTGGGCATAAAAAGGGTAAACTGGTACATGCAAATTTATCATTTTTAGTGGGCACCAAAATTATATTCATTCTTCTATAGGTGTCTGTGAGACACTGCTTCTTTTTGTGACAGGCTTAAAATGCCAGTGGTTTATGATGTTGAAATGTTTCTGAGGCACAACTCTACAAATGCAAAATGCATGTTCACAGTAATCTGAAAATGTTGAGTCCTAATAATCTATAATTTTCTTGTGGGAAGGAAGGTTATTTTATATTTTCATAAAAATATGCAAATAACTTGGTAAGGTAAACAAAGGAAGTTAAAACACACTTGTTAGTTAATCAACTGTGATTTTGGATGACTTACCACCGGTTAGACATAGAAAATGACAATCAGATTTGGAAGGCTCAAAATCCAAGGTCTGCTTTGCATAAATTGCCACAGTTACCTAAGGAGTATGACATGGGGAATCAACATCTTGGAAAAAGAAAATTTAGAATGAAGAAGTATCACAGAGAATTCTGAATAGAAAGAATGTACCTTAAGACATTCTTGAAGGTTCTGATTTGCTTACAAGCAGTGATTTTTATGTGGAAAGACAGTAGTATATGGAGTGAAATGGCTGGGTCTTCTACTTGCTTACTGGGACCAGTACAAGCCTCTTACCCTTACAAAGTCTCAGGTTCCTCACCTCTAAGATTCAGATAATAAAAATCTCAGCACTGCTTACCTACCATGGGGTTATGAGGGTCAAGAGAGCACCTGCATATGGAAACCCCTTGTAAACAGCCTCACAAATATACAGTTACTATCAAGGGCAAAAACCTTAGGTGCATTCTTCCCTTGGGTCAAATAGGCTTTATAGGGTCACAAACTTCCCTTCATGTCTGTGCGCTTTCTTGGAAAGCGGTTTGAGTGAGAGTGCAGGGGTGCTTCTGTGCCTGCCATCCTCACATGCAGAAAGCCACACAGTATCTCTCGCTCATCCTGCCTAAGGCTGAGTAGAATGTGATCTTTTCCCCAAATTCCTATAGCACTTTGTCTGTTAAATGTTTAACACATTTTCTTATGTATACACTGACTTACTAGTTTTCCAAAAATGCACGCAGGGCAAGGATAGCTTTGTTGGGACAGTGACTAAGACTATGGAATCAGACTGCCAGGAGTTAAATCCTGTTTCTTCTACTTTATAGCTTTGAGACTTGGTCAGGTCACTTTACCTCTCTGAGACTCAGTACTTAGGGTAAGATGGCTAGGAAGAGAAAAGGAGTTGATATATGGAACATATGACTATATAAATGTTAGCTCTCATAATCTTTCTGTTCTACCCAGTATCAAGAACAGTAGAATATATGTTTGTGGAGTAACAGAATTTCTGAGGTCCTAATTTAATGTAAGGATGGAAAATGTGTGAAACTTGTATAGCCATTTTCCTGCCTTGTGCCATTCTGGCAAATCTTCAGGGAGTCTACTACCAACTGATTGGAATTACTACCTGACAGAGCACCTCTTTGCCATTCATGGTTAATGAACTGACATTCATTCTCTCTCAAAAGCATAATATTCTAAGAGATGGCAGGATATCTTACATAAAACATTGTTTTTCTTTTTTTAATTTTTAGTTCTCCCTCCTCAACCAGAAAACATCAAGATTTCTAATATCACAGACTCCTCAGCTGTGATCTCTTGGACAATCCTGGATGGCTATTCTATTTCTTCTATTATCATCCGTTACAAGGTTCAGAGCAAGAGTCAAGACCAGCACATTGATGTGAAGATCAAGAATGCCACCATTACCCAGTACCAGCTTAAGGGCCTAGAGGCTGAAACAGCTTACCAGGTGGACATTTTTGCCGAGAACAACATAGGGTCAAGCAACCCAACCTTTTCTCATGAACTGATGACTCTCTCTCAATCCCAAGGTTGGTAGAGTGGGCGGGTATTGACACAGGAGCACTTGTGGAGAGTTATCAGAAAATTCCCACCGTCTTAAGATCTTCACCCCACAGGCATGTCACATGACATGATTCATTTGTCCTAATAGGCTCCACTATCTAGATAGATCCTTAGAATGAAAATACCCCTGGGAAGGCTACACTGTTGATCCATTTTCTGGTACTAAACCTCAGAGTAAATTAGCCCATCTGCACTCCCCATCCAGCAGTTGAAGCTCTGAGTAATATGAACTTGATTCTGTGGAGAAAGCATGTGGAACCTGCTTAGTGGAGGCAGACTTGTGCAGGTGCTCAGTGGGAGGCTTCAGGAACCACACTCCACTCCTTCTCAAATGAACTTCTCTTTTAGCTTGAATGGCACTAAGCTATTCTGAGTTTTCTTTTACTTTTTGGATCTGGGTTATTATGTGTCCACATCCACACTAACCCCACTCCAGAGAGTAAGCCCTGTGAGAAAAGTGGAGATCCCTCAGAGTGCCAAGCACATTATGCCCAGTGTTTGTGATTGATAAAACCTGTTGAGTGTAATGAATGAACAAGGGCCCCAGGAGGCCAGGGGGGGCTCTAGCCCCTGGAGGGCCTTCCCTCTGAACTCTCTCTGAAGTGGCACCTCCTAGCCTTCTGCACTGCGCAGTGTGTGCAAGGGAGCAGAAACAGCGGGATGTTAGAGGAAAATGGTGATTTTTGCACATTTATAACTTGGACTGAGTATTTTTACAGAAATCTTATGGTACCAAAAACTTCTTGGTTCTCTTGAGGGCTAACTAGGGCTTACGGCATAACTCTGTTTTCAGTGCTGAATCTTTGGAATATTTTTGAAACATCCAAGGATGATGAATATGCCAACTACAGAGAGTCATAATTTTCAGATGGCATCCTTAATAAATGCATCATTTTTATAATTACTTGTGTTTTGGTAAAATATGCAGGAACTAAATCCAAGTTATACATAAAATGCAAACAGGAAAATTAAAAACAAGGTATAAAAAAAAATCTTCACCGTGCCATTCCAGACATCTCTTCATGCCCACAGGCACAGAGATGAAGGAAAGAGAATCACAGAAGAATACAATACTTATGTTCTACATGCTGATTTTCATACGAATATATTGAGTTTAATCTTAACTGAAATAAGAGAAAGGAGTGGAAGGATTAGATCTGAGCCTTTAATAGTTTATTTTGACCTGAGCCCTAAATTTAATGGTTTTTCTCTTCTGTGTTTCCCTCCCCTCCCCTTCCTTCCTTCCCTTTCTTATTGGTATCTTCAAGTTTTCTCTGTCAGCTTTTTAAAACAAGAAAACAAAACAAAACAATCTTATGGACTCTAAGCTCTCAGCCTCGTAGAACTGGGAAGCTTCCCTAGGTGCAGGGAGGTTTAGTCACTTTCCCAAAGTCACACATCCAGTTAGTCACTGTCGCTGCTACTCTACAATGTGTATCTGCTTGGGCCTCTACTTGGAAATAAAACTTGAACAAATGCAACAATGATTAACACACTGCCATTTAAAAGCACTAAAAAAAAAATCTTGTAACAACCCTGTGAGTCAGAATCATCTCCACTGAGTTTCAGAAAATAAATGAATAGCCCAAGGACACACAGCAATGGGGCTGCCAGGACATTCCCACTGCCCACAACTTCTCACAGACAGTCTTGGCTTCTCTCCTCCCCCGGAACTAACCCGGCTGCTTCTCCTGTGTCTGTCCCCCTGCACAGCACCGGCAGACCTCGGAGGCGGGAAGATGCTGCTCATAGCCATCCTCGGCTCGGCGGGAATGACCTGCCTGACGGTGCTGTTGGCCTTTCTGATCATGTTGCAACTGAAGAGGGCAAATGTCCAAAGGAGAATGGCCCAAGCCTTTCAAAACGTGGTAGTGTCTCATCTCCCTCCTAGCTAATAAGTACAAGTCCACATATATGCAGATTTAAAGATGTGGACCAGGACATTTACTTGTAAAGCAATTATTTCCCTTAGGCAAGTCTCTTCTATTTGGCTTCCATTATGAAATGGGAGATAAACAGCATGACTATATAATTTTGAAAATGAAAAGGTTGCTCTTAATTATTCAGCAAACCAGGCCTAACACAGGACTGTGCCTGTCAAGATGATGAAAGGCCATCCTAGTGATAAGTCAGCAGAGAGAGTTATCTTGTACTATAAAGAACTGAACATTTCTGGTAAGGAAGGACATGAGGGTAACCAGACCTCAGTCTCATTCTTCTATCTAGGAATTTTGACCAATAACAAAGGTTTACAAAATCACACTTTGCCAATAGGCACCCTATTTGTATCCTTTTGTTATTCTACAGCCTTAACATTTCTCTAGTTTGTGGTTTCAAGCTCTGTAAAATTAATTTGTACCCAACTTTATCAATTCTGTATGTAAAACACGGAGTACAATTACATGTTCCAAATGAGGTATACCTTCATGTATGTGAGCCCCACACTTCCCCTCACTGGAGGACCAGGGCCATTTTATTATTTGGCATATTTACATGCCAAAACTGGCTCACCTCAGGCTGTTACTGGAAAGGAAGGATCAGCAAGGGGGTTGGGAATGCTGGCGCCCCTCATGCCACCCAGGCTCTGCCATAATGTGTCGGCAGCCAGTTACATACAGGAGAAAAGGTGAGACAGTGTCGGGCTCTCCTCCAAGCCTCAGTCATCCCGGGGCCACAGCCTGCTCCGGGCGTGAGAGATTCCAAGACTGAGGACAAGACAGAGGGAGAGAGAGTGAGAGCCGAGAATGGGCCAAGATGATGCTCGGGAAGCTCTCACGGAGGTGTGGCCTGCGGCTGCCCCAGGTGGGCCTCCGAGTTCTTTTCCAAATCAAAACCGAACACCAGACCATTCAGCAGAGCAGAAACACAAGTGTGACTAACTGGAGAATCTCAGGCTATGGCATGCATACCAAAATCCTCCCTCTCTGGCTCTCTGCAGACACTGCTAATCTACTACGGCATGCTTTCCCACTGAGGCCCAGAACTGCGCCCATACAGTTCTGTAGACAGCCATTGCATCAGAGGGGGCCTTTAGGTGAAACCTACTTCCATCTCCATTCTAGAATTACACAATTTCTTTTGTCACCTGGTGTGGCTATAAGTCAGGAGGTGTTATGCACCTTAGAATTATGAAAAATCTTGGCACAAAATCACGAAAAAATTATTTTTCCAGAGGGAAGAACCAGCTGTGCAGTTCAACTCAGGAACTCTGGCCTTGAACAGGAAGGCCAAAAACAACCCGGATCCCACAATTTATCCAGTGCTCGACTGGAATGACATCAAATTTCAAGATGTGATTGGGGAGGGTAATTTTGGCCAGGTTCTTAAGGCACGCATCAAGAAGGACGGGTTACGGATGGACGCTGCCATCAAAAGGATGAAAGGTCAGTGCTTGGCCAAATCAAGTCAGCATTTCACTAGGGTGTGGAGAAAACTTAACTTCCCGATGAATCTTTCCTTACATTCTTTGAACAAAGATTTGGCATGTGTCAGACACAGCTCTTTTGTGTAACTGGCGGTGAAGGTGATGTTTCCTTGCAGTCAGCTCATGACAGGGTCAGGATGTAAACATGCAGGTGTGAGCTGTTTAAACACCACCTTCTGGATTCCCTGGGATGTAAGACTACAGATTAGTCTCTGTTGCGTACCACTCACTGTGGGGGAACACTACAGTTTCTCGTGAGGCAGTGGTTCTCAAATGGAGTTGTATCAGAATCAACTGGAGAGCTTGTTAAAAAGCTTTTAGGCTGTACCAGGGTTTCTGGGTCAGTAATTCCAGAACAAGACCAGGGAATCTGCATTTCTGATTAGTTCCCAAGTGACACTGATGCTGAGGGTGGAGACCACCGTTTGCGAGCCACTGTCTTCATGGGCTCTGTGTATCCAGATTCCTGGAGACGTGGTGGGAAATGCATCTAGTTGGGCTTACCCAACTCCCAGTTCTACTGTATTTGAATTCTGGGTGGCACATAAGAATCTGTGTTTAAAAAGCTCCCAATGATTGTTCTAGACACTCAAGTTTGAAACCAGGATCTAAGGTCACCAGAACTAAATTTTTTCCAGCTGTATTCATCTCGACTACATAGTGCTTACCTATTTAACAAGACTGGATACTAAAGAGAGAGCCAAATGACAGTAGTAGCAATGCTAGCTGCCTTCTCCTCTGTGTGGAACAGCAGCAGCACACGTGCGCCTTGACTGCAAAGCTGCAGTGTAGCTGTCCAGGGTGCCAGCGGGAGAGTGGCAGCGGGAGCAGGGGGCAGAACTGACTGGTGTCGGGGTAGCACCATGAGATAGGCTCGAAGGCCACTCTTGGTTTTTCCTTCTGTTTGACCGCTAAACTGAGCCTAAGATGAAGATTAACCCTAAATCTTATTAAACCATAGCTGCTTTCTGCATTGTTAAGACGTCAGAAAACAAATAGTGTCTATGCTCCAAGACAGTAATATGTTTCAAACATACACACACAAACTTGCCTAGCATCCAGAAATCTCTTTTCTGCTTTCTACTTTAGTAGAAATTTAGGGAATTTGAGGCAGAAGCAGGGATATTAAGAGGAGAATGAGTGTAGAACCTTGTAAAATCTAGTTGTAATTTTAATTTTTAGTGGGATCTGACCTAAGCCTGATTGTCGCTCTCATGCCCACATGAAGAGGTAGAAGAGCTTAACAGGGCACCAGGGCAGAAAACTTCTGCAGTGAGAGTGACACATCCTAAGGGGAAAGTTACTGAAATTAGGGAACCTCATTATAAAGAACTTTATTTTTACAATGCTCCCAAGGCATTGACCCTCATGCTCTGTGGTATGAACAGGGCATCTGACTTGGGATTGCCTGCCAGTTAGTCTTACAGGTGCTTTTAGCCATATGAAGCCTTTCTGTAATTTCTAAGCACGTTCAAGCATGCACACAGCCACCAGCATCCCTCTTCCACCTTTCCCCCCACCAGTGTCATTTTTCAAGAAACAGAATAGCACAGTCACCGACTCAAGGCTGATCAGTTTGTGCATCCAGCAAAGAGCCTTCTCTCCAGCCTGGTTGGTGCCTGCTGGTCCCTCTGACCAAGTGCTAGTGGGGAGGCAGGATGACAAGCACAGAAGCAAATGCAACTCAGTTCCCTAACTACCAGAGGACCTTTATAAAAATGTCATTGGGATTTGAATTTTTTTAAGCAGGACTGATTTGTGAAAAAGCAAGTTGGAATATTATAATCAAGGTGTGTGTATTACTGAATTTTCACTGAACCTTTGGTTATATGCCTCAGCGTATTTGTCTCTGGATGGTAGATCCAGCTAGGAAAGCTAGAGTCTAAAAGTAGAGAAAGCTCCATCTCTGCCAGATCATTTCCCTGGGTATTTGAGAGCTTAAACAAAAAAAACTTCTCAGCAGTGGTTCTCAACCAGGGGTGATTTTGCCCCGAGGGACACTCAGCGATATCTAGATACATTTTTGCTTGGGCTACTGGTGTCTAGTGTGTAGAAGCCAGAGATGCTGCTAACATCCTACTATGCACAGAACAGCCCCCACCACCACCCCCACCGCCCCCAACAAAGAAGGATCAGCCTAAAGGGTCAAAAGTGCCAAGTATCTTCCTTAGTGATTCTTTGATCTCTGTGCAGCTTTCCAGACCTGACAGTGACTGAGTTCCTGAAGGTCTGGAGGAACAGCAGGGGACAGTTGTTTCTGAAGAGGTGTAAGAGATCAGGATCACAATTCTTGACTTTATTCCCAGAATATGCCTCCAAAGATGACCACAGGGACTTTGCGGGGGAACTGGAGGTTCTCTGTAAGCTTGGACACCACCCAAACATCATCAATCTCCTGGGAGCATGTGAACATCGTGGTAAGATGCTCCTTTCCTGTCTTCCTGCCAGAATTTTTTTAAAAAAACAGGCACATTCCATATTGAAATTAGAAAGATAATCATCTTAAGAAAGACATCTATTTTTTTTATTTTGGTATCATTAATGTACAATTACTTGAGCAACATTATGGTTACTAGACTCCCTCTATTATCAAGTCCCCACCACATACCCCATTTTATCTTTTTTTTTTTTAAGTTGCAGTTTCAATCTGAATGTCTAGTGGCATTTATAGACTGCAGAGGTTTGGCCTCTTTTGGAGGCAGGTCCCATGGCTGGATCTCTTGTTCTGTGATGTGGTTCAGCCACTGCTGCCCCAAGGCGTCATGGCTCCTACGTGCCCCTCCTGCCAACGCACAGGTCTTCTCAGCTTCTCCTTCTAGGTATACTGCAGGGGCCCTCAGCACCAGGGAAAGTGAAATGCTTTGGTTTTTCTTAACTGCCTGTCTTCTCACCCAAAACACTGATACTCTGAATGTTACATCCCTAATGCCAACAATCTACTGTAATATGGAAGCATTGACAGTGCTTAGGGTAAACTAATAATCTTAAATCTGACTGGGCTTTTATTTTTCCCAAAATAATTCCCTACACAATTACATTGGAGTTTTACAGTGACAGATGTCACACATATTCTGAAAATGCAGCTTATACTATTAATTCACATATTTATTGAGTACTTCCATTGGTTTACCTCTGTGTGTTACCTGGGTTTGTAGTTCTCAATCTACACTTAAACTTAATTTCTCATGGAAAAGTTTGCTTCCACAAAAAAGCTCCACACGGTTATTATTTACAAACTTGACAACCTCTTGTTGACTTTGCAGTACCAACAGTAGAAAAGAGACTACTTCCTTTTCCTCAATTTATTAAACTAAAAATACTGGTGCTTTGAGCAACATATCATTCTGTGATCCAATAGGGATGTAATTCTAAAAGCCAGATCATGTCTCTTGGGTTAAATAATGAACTAATGATGTTTATTTTTGAGCTATTTCCTAAAAATAGTAATCAGTGTGGGACAGCAGTAAATGCAAGTTAAAAAGAATAATAACCACTGACAATAGACAAATAGGTATCTTTTAAAATTTTGCTTGATCATCACGTTAGCAGATAATTGGTTGGCTCTTAAAATTTCTAATTCACTATGGAAGTGAGAAAGCACATTTATACCAGACTTGAGGTTGTATCTTTCCCTATAGTGCCATAGGATTAAGTACTAAAGGACGTTTTTTTTTTTTGTCACAATTTCAATTTCTTAGAATATCTTTAAAGTTTAAATTCATTGGACTTTTTAAATTTAAGAAATGCTTTATCAAGAAAATACACCTTTAAAAGACAGTAAAGCCACTTTTCACTGGCTCTAAAGATCAATGTTGTTATCAAGAAAGGATAGTTTTATTTTTTAAGAAAGGAAAATAATTTGGAATAAAAAGGACAATGGACCATAATTTCTTCTAGGATATATTGTTGTTTTTTTCCTAAAAGCTTGAGCTTTCTGGTTTCTGTAAGCAAAATGCAATCTCTGACACTAGACAGTGTTGACCAGCAGCCTCATCAGCACCATGGTGACCCCATGTGGGTCTCAGGGAGTAGCAGAAGGCAGGAGAGAAAGCAAGTTATTTGTTCTGGGTCCTTCTGCTATGGAGTCTGAATCGTTGTTGTACAAATAACCTCAAGGAGAGCCAGAGACAGACTGGAACAACATCCTGGCTCACTTTAGGTTCTTAATCAATATTGAATAAAAAATAAAAGGTGATGTGGACTAGCTGTCCTAGATCTTCTAACCAGTGCATGCCATGATTTCATTTTGGTTTTCTCACTGTGTAGGTGACAGCATCTAGGCAGGCCTCCACGGTAGTCCACACTTGGTGGGGGGTGCGGGGAGTGGAAAAGAGGGGAACCCTGAGTTCAAGTGGGGCGCCCCATGAGCATGGTAGAAGGATGGAACTGATCCAATCCGTCCTCAGCATCACTGGAGGTGGGGCCTCCAGATGTGTTACTCTTAGATAAAATTGAGTTTTAGAAGCAATTCCCAAGGACCACAGTACATTGCAGATGTATCAGAGCTGGTTTACGGCCATTCGTAAGGTAGTGTCTTACCCTTTCCCTGCAGGCTACCTGTACTTGGCCATCGAGTATGCCCCCCATGGAAACCTCTTGGACTTCCTGCGCAAGAGCAGAGTGCTGGAAACCGACCCAGCGTTCGCCATCGCCAACAGCACCGCCTCCACGCTGTCCTCCCAGCAGCTGCTTCACTTTGCGGCAGATGTGGCCCGGGGTATGGACTACTTGAGCCAAAAACAGGTTTGTCATGAGGACCTTGCTTCTGGACATCTTTCCTTTGAAATTCTCTCTAGCATCTGAGTTTAGTTAAATTTATAACGTTTTTTGCCTGTCAGCCTCTCTCTTTAGTTCTTCTTAAAACATCCATAATTTTAATCTGTTAATATCCTATCCACTTATATAGAAATAAATGCCCACCACTGACAAATTATTTATGTAGTGAATCCTTTCATATGTGTTTGGTAAGGTGCCTTATCAGATTTTAGCTTCTTGTGGCTCCAAACAATGTACAATAGTAGAGGGTTTACCTGGCAATAAGATTTAATGACCTGGGTTTTTTCCTGAAATGTTTTTCCCAAGATGTGGTGGGTCATTTGGCACAATCTACTGAGGATATTGGAGAAAATCTTTAAGGGAACTAGTTTCTGGTGACTTTATAAAATCCATTTTCATACTCTTTGCTCTATTTCCCAAAGTTCTTGCCCCTATGGCTTTGTGCTAACAAAATGAAGTGAAAAAGCAAGTATGGTGCTGAAAATATATGTTTGTTTGTTTTTTAAATTTCAGTTTATCCACAGGGATCTAGCTGCCAGGAACATTTTAGTTGGTGAAAACTATGTAGCCAAAATAGCAGATTTTGGATTATCCCGTGGTCAAGAAGTGTATGTGAAAAAGACGATGGTAAGTTCAGACCTCAGACACTGATAATATCCTTCCCAGGGCAGCACTCCCTCTCTGATGGGGCTTCTCGTAGAACAGCACTGTTCTGTGGCGGCCGAGGCACCTGCGGGCACCCCGCTACATACCGCTCCAGCCTAGCAAACATCTTTTTTAAGTTTTGGTTCCTAAAGCAATTGGAGGGTCCATATTCACCAGTGGAGAAACCACTGTCACATCTGGCCGACTAGGTGAACATGCAGGCCTCCTGGGGCAGGGGCTGTGTCTGGTCCAGACCCCTGAGTGTCTCACCCAGACACTTCTGAGGGGCTCCCACCATCCCCCTTCATGCACAGCAAACACAGGAAGGGTAAAAGACATTAAACATGCTTTCCAAATATAAACGAAACAAATGAATGAGGTTCCCAAATCACAAGGAAGCCCTGTGGAAAACTCATAATTCTAAAGGCCCACAGATTTTCCTTTTCACCCAGAATTCTGCACTTCCTCTCCAAGCCCAGATCCAACCCACTTTCAACTAATGATACCTACTCTCCCAAATAGTAATATTTTACCTTTAAGATCCTGGAAGAACCTAATCACAGTGCTAGAAAAACAGAGAAGCTGGTCTAATTCTGCTTTTGTTGCCGCCCCTGGAGTCATAGAGCCCTGGACATCAGTGCGGACGGCATAGCGGGTGGACAAATGCAGGCCCCGGGGTACCAGCCCTAGGGTCTCCCGCGTTTGGGAGGTGGACTCGGCGGCAGGGCCCTCCCTTTCCTGGGTCTGATCACCACTGACTGCCTCGGCTCCCCTGGGCGACCCGAGCTCCGCATGGAGGGCCCTTTCACTTCTGCCTCGGCCAGCTGCCAACACGCGGCTCGGGTCTCTGTATGGCTCCTTAAGATCAGGTTTCCTTTCTCTTCAATACACTTATTTTAGTTACCGACAAGATAACACAAACAATATTCAAGAACGTTTTGAAAAGGAAATGACCCACAGTTCACCACCTTGACACTTGTCATTTATGCCTTCCACAGGAACACACATTTTAATGTGCTTACCACCATCACAGTGAACGTAGCCCTTCTGGATCTTGCCCCTGCCTTTTACGATCAGGGTTTGAAGTGGGGCCCCTTTGGCTCTCAGAGCCCACCGCGCAGCCCAGCCCTGGATGCTTACTAATGACCCGCACTTTCAGAAGCCATCAGTGCCTCCCCGAGGGCTGGTTTCCAGGCACGGCTTTTTCCCTAAGCTTTCTAGAATTTGCCCCACTCTGAGCAGAGCAGCCAGCTCTCTGGGTTGGTGGCACTTGTCCTAAGGAAGCAGGACCTCTCCCTGCACAGCCACTCAGGCCCCAGGCCGCCTGGAAGCCTCCTGTCTCCTTCACAGAATCCCTTTCTTTGCTTCACCTTGTCCTTTGGGGGATGTTGTCCCCTGGATGGATGTGGAGCGGCTAAATGTTAACCCCATGACCTGCACGGTTTATTGGGAGGCTATCCTCAGATCCCCAAGGCCAACACTAGCTTGCTTGGCATTTCATGAAGGGCAGGGATTTCTGTAGTCTTGGGGGCTAAGGGGGAACACTTAGGGGGCAAAGCACTGGTCAGGGCTAAACTCTACCTCCTAACACAGGGTGCAGTGTTCCGAGGTAGCATGGGGTCTGGGGAGGAAAGGGCAGGGGGAGGGATGCACAGAAAAGGGACTGTGGAGGAGCAAGCTCCCTGCAAGAAGGGGACAGTGTGGCAAGATACCACCAGAGGGCAGAGGGGCTACTTTTTGGGCCTATTGTTTAATCAGAGATTTTCACCTCTTATTGTACCTCAGAATCATTTAAAAAATACAGAGACTGAATCCTACTGCTTATTCTAGTTCAGTTGTTCTTCAGTGGAGCTCCTGAATCAGATTTTTTTTTGAAAGTCCTCCAAGGGAATTCTAATACTAGAGGTGTGCAAACTAATGTATTAAGTGATTTAGGGTTATATTATCACTTATTAACACCCCTATTATACAACATCACCGATTTATTTATTACTACAGTATTTCACGCTGGGTTAGGCTTTCAGTTAACTTAAGTCAGACACAGTCTCTGCCTTCAAAGAGTTCACAGACAGATACATAATGAACAACTGGAACCATTGGTAAGTGCTGGAGGGAGGAAAGCACAGATGCCAAGGGAACACAGAGGAAGCACAATGAACCAAGCCTGTGGTTAGTCATGGAGGGCTTTCTGGAGGAGGCTAACTCCTGAGTTTTTACAGTAGATGTTAAATAGGTATTGGAGATGTGAGAATGAATTGGATGACCTGGGGGATGCAGTATATAAAAAGCCTAGAAACAAAAGGAAGTACAGAACATATAGGGATTAAGTAATTCAATAAAGTTGGAGTGTAATACAGAAAAGAGAGTTAAAAGTTTAAGGTTGGAGGAGGAAGTAGGGATAAGGTCTTCCTGAACAGCTTTGAATTCCAGGTAAGAGTTTTGGACTGGACAATAGGGACCTTAAAGAATTTTAAGGAAAGGAACCACATGGTGAGATTTGCCATTTAGAGTGAGCATTTTGAATGTGGTGGAGAACAGAGTTAGGGACTGAAACTAAAGACATGGAGATCAGTTAAGAGGTTGTCATCAGCTAACAGATGATGACAGCTTGAACTGAGGTGATAGCAGTCAGGACAGAGAGACACAAAAGAAAAAAATTAAAGAAGTGCACAAGGAAATCAGTAATTAGAAGGTTTCAGGTCAGAGGCCAGCAGTCCACATCTCATTTTTCCCAGGCTGGACTCAGTAAGCCAAGAAATGGGGACAACCTGGAGGGAGTTAGGGCCAGGCATCCACAGGGTGAGTGAGTGTCTCCCCTCCTATCTCCAAACCCAGTGTAAACTGCACTGCCTACAAGTTATTTTCTCCTCTACTGACATATATGAGCACTGTTCCCTTTGGCCTAAAATACTCTTTCCTCCTCCACCCACCTCACTGCACCTATACATCTCTAAGAACTGAGGTCAAATGTCCCCTCCTCTGGAAAATCTTCCCCCTTCTCCTGAGGCACAGCTGGCCTTCTCACACTACTTTAGCATTTCCCACATTAAAATTTAGTTATTGGTTTCTATGCCTGTTACCTTCTCAAACCTGAGTGCCTCTGAATGCCACAAAGTGAATGAATGAATGACTACCAAATGCACACATACATTCACACACGCACACGCTTCTCTTAATATAAAACTGTAGTAGGGAACCCCTTACAAACAGGTAAGACTTACACTATTTGTGTCTTTGAATTTGAAAACACACTTCTGGGTAAAACATAACACAAAATAATTCCTGATCTGCCATACCTTATATCTGGGGATTCCACATAGGGTTCCCTATGGGCTTGAGAGAGCCACACCTTCAGATGAGCTGCCAGCCTTGTGAAGGGTGCCTTCCTGCCTAAAGTGGCCTCTCACTTTGTTCTCTTCAGGGAAGACTCCCAGTGCGCTGGATGGCGATCGAGTCGCTAAATTACAGCGTGTATACAACCAACAGTGATGTGTAAGTAATCCTCTTGTTGCTGGTTTTGTCCCCAGAAAAATATAGATTTGACAGAGATTTCAAAGAATAGCAAAAATATTGTCCCTCTGCAGAAAAAAGCCAATCAGCCCAGGAAATAAATTCACAGATGAAATGAAGCTCAGAATGGACACTTTTCTAGGTGGAGAATCACTGTGGTAGGCTGTGAGTTTCCTCTGCTTGCTAAGGGGCAGGGATGAATTCTTGCTGTCCAGAGGAGCAAGGGACACACTGGTCTTCCTGGAGCTCTGCTTCCCCAAAGACCTCACCACACAGGGCCTAGATCAGAGAGGCAGCCGAGCAACTGCTGGGAGTCGGGGTGGCCCAACGGGGGGCCATCTCTGCTTGCTGCCTGCAGTGACAAGTCTCAAGTTGGCAGTGGATGGAGGGGTTAGGTCGTCTCGCTCATACCTCCTATTTCTAGGAGGAAAAGCTGAGGCGCAGAGGGCTGAGGCGTCTTGTCCAGGGCATTTACGTATGCCTGGAGATGGGGAGGGGGCTGGCAATTACTGCCCAGTGTGCACAGTGACTTTTGTATGTTATCTCACATCATCTCTGCATCACTTTGAGTAGCTCAGGGTGTCCCCATTTTCGGAAGAATACACTAAGGCCTCAGGGGGTTCAGTAACTTGTCCTTGGTCACACAAGTATCAGGCAGCAGAGATGGGATTTAACCCCCATCTGTCCAGCTTAGAATTACAGCTGCTTTCCATGGCACCTCCTTGCATTCTCTACCTCAAGTGAGTGGGGGGCTCTGGAAGAGCTAACCCCATTTCCCTGTTATAATCCTTCCGTTGGCCTAAGAGGAGGTAAACACATGCTGGGTACAAGACCCTATCCTGGTGAGCAGACATTTAACATTTCACATTTCCTTTTCTGACAAGAGGCCAGTCACCCTGGCTTTTGGGGGCAGATTTGACTGGTCAACTTGTTTGCTGATGGTTGGTTTCCCTATCGCCCCTTCTGCAGATGGTCCTATGGAGTGTTACTTTGGGAGATCGTTAGCTTAGGTGAGTATCCATGTTTCCCTACCACCGGAGATGCCAGGCAACGTGAGGCAGCCCCTCCTGTGCTCCCTCACTGTGTACAACCGTGGGTACCTTTGTATGTGGTGCCACCAGCTGTGACTTAGAAATAGAACCTTATGTGTTCCCATGCATAAGGGTGTTTATTCTGATGTTTCTTTTGGAAGCCCTTTATCTAATTTTATATTCAATACTAATGACATGGTGGCCATGAGCTTCATTATAGGTTGTCTCTGCTTGTGCAATAATACCATACAGAGCTGTACAAGTTTAAGATGCAGCCATGGAAAGTTATTTTGAAGGCCATTTAATAGCATGTGAAAATGTGCATTGCCCAAAACCAGATAAATTTCACATAATGCTATTATCCAAGTTCTACAAATTAAAACTGGAAAGACTACATAGAAGGGTGATAAAAGTTATTGTGGCTGTTTTTTCATTTGTGCTTTGTTGTATTTTCTAAGATCTCTACAATAAACATGTATTGCTTTTACAACTAATGTTAGACAGTAACTATTTCAGATAAAATAGGAATTGTTTAACATAAACCACAGACTTCCAGTTAGGAAAAAAGATACAGCTCACTGAGATGGAGATGAGATTGGGCGTGTGTCCCAGATTTGGGGAAGAGAAAGGGCGCCGTAGGGAAGGCACCCAGGGCAGCCTGCAGCCTGAGTGCATTTTGACGTGCAGCAGGTTTGCTCAGAGGAAGACGGCACCAGGCACTCACACTCTGGGACAGGGCATGTCTTCCTCCCAGTCTTTGGCTTTAGAGCCCTGGGGCAGGAGCCATGGCCTTCCACCCCAGAGGGAGCTTGTGGTGACAGTGTTCCTGTCTTCCAGGTGGCACCCCCTACTGCGGGATGACATGTGCAGAACTCTACGAGAAGCTGCCCCAGGGCTACAGACTGGAAAAGCCCCTAAACTGTGATGACGAGGTGTAAGTCAAGCCTCACCGTGGCCTCTTTTTATTTAACTTTTCCACTGCCTATTTCTGGGACAGACTGACTACCAAAGGGTTACCTGATACATGCACATATATGTATACCTGGATGTATACACACACACCCTGAGATCCCAAACAGCAAAAAAAAATAGGAGGGGTAGGGAACAGGGGTTGTCTTTAAACTAAGACTGTTAGGCAATGGGCAGGGTTAAGGGCTTTCCAGGCATAGAAATCCAGGAGGAATTTAAGATAATGATTCTTGGAAAGGTTGAAATAAAGAGAACAAAAGCAGGATCTGAAGGCCTGAATTTGAAAACAAATTCATGAAATCATTCATATGTAAATGTTTGAAACCTTGAGACTGACTGACTGTGGGGCTAGAGATTTCAGAGCTGTTACATTAGGAAAATGGATTTTTCTTTATAGAATCTTGCTTCTGTGAGGACTTTTTTTTTCCAGGAGTAAGAATTATTCCATGGGGAAGAATGATTATTAGTGACACCACCATTCCTGAAACTAGCAGAGGTAGTAGCTACCTAACTAGCATGATTTGAAGAGGACAAGAGTCTAGACTGAGCAAATAATTTGTCCAAACTGAACCACATCTAAGAGTGAAGAGGAGTGCTTTCAATATGTGACACTCGGATTCTGCTGCCCTAAACACATACAGTCCTTCCCAGACGATCAGAATAGATGAGACCAAGTTCCTGCAGGAATGCACCCAGGGCAGGCACTGGACCTACTAAAAGGGGACTTAGGGAGAGGGGTGGCCTAGGTGAGACTTCCTATGTCCTGACCTTGTGTTGAACAGCTACAATTCTTTCTTCCACATCCTACACCTGGCCATGCCCAGGACTGAAGCAGAGCTGTAATTAACCCTTTAACTCTGTTTTCAAAGGTACGACCTCATGAGACAGTGCTGGCGGGAGAAGCCTTACGAGAGGCCCTCATTTACCCAGATATTGGTGTCCTTAAACAGGATGTTGGAAGAACGAAAGGTGAGTAGGGAGCTCAAAGCAGGGCTTTTACCCGACAATTCCTCATGTGTCCAGTGTGGTTAGCACAAGTAGTGGATACAATCTAGCAGGTTTTTCTGCATGGCCCTCGGTATCACAGGGATGTAAAGGATGTGGCCCTAACTTTGAGGAAGTTACAATTTTGGAGGAAATAAGATTTCTATATGAGATTTAGTCACACATAGTAGAATATCACATGACATCGCTTCTAGCTCAAAATGGCTAATTCTATCAGTCATCCTTTTAAGTTTATGGATGAAAGAGACAGAGAGGTGAAAGCAGACAACCAGGCTTACATGGGAAGGCCAGGAATTCTATAAACATTTCCAGAAGGTAGTTGGCTATATGGATCTAAGTTCAAAGGACAAATCTAGGTTAAGGAAACAGATTTTGAAAATCATCAAAACCCTAGTAGTAGTTAAACCAGAGCTGGGGGTGAGAGCACATAGAGGGAGGCATGGGGACGAGAAGCAGACCAAGGAAGGGACCTGAGAGAATGGGGCATTTCTGGCGGAAGCAGTGAGAAGCCTGGAGGCCAGGGAAGGGGAGCCGGTGAAATCTCACTTGCAGAAATCAAGGGATGCATTTCAGGAAGGAAGGCAACAAACACAACAGAGGGGTTCAGGACACAGAACTGTTCCCCAAGTTCTGGAACTGAAACAAGCTAAGATGAGCAGGGTAGTGCTGTAACTGTGTGTCTCTGAACCCCTCTCACTCTTCTAGACCTATGTGAACACCACACTTTATGAGAAGTTCACCTATGCTGGAATTGACTGCTCTGCTGAAGAAGCGGCCTAGGACTGCGCACCATGTGTGTATTGTTTCCCCTTCATTGACAGAACACCCTTGGTGCCAGGCCAGCTTCTGCCCAGAGAGGTGACAGAGAATATAGAAATGTATGTATATTGCTGTACGTCTGGACTTTCAGCTCAAAAACCCCTGTGTGTGAATCTGTAGTACACTCTGACTGTACTGGGACTGTATATACTGTTTTGAGTAAGAATGTGCGGGCGGGAGTCAGAATGCCTGTTTGTGGTTTCATATGCAATAATATATTTTTCTAAAAATGTGGATTTTATGGGGAGGTATGAGAGTACAATTACATAATGTGTAACTCATTATTGTCCTATTTTTGATATTTACCTTTATAGTGAGTGCTATGAAATGTTTTCCTGTACCTGTATAGAAGTAAAATATTGTTGACTGTTGTAGCTCAGGTGAGAAAAGTAGGGGAAATGCATGAGTTCTGTCAGAACAAAGGTTCACACTGAGGAGACAGATGACTCTCTTCTATCATGTGGACGTTTTGGTCTCTGATTTTCTCCCTTACCTGCAGAAGCCATTCAGTGTCATTTAGTTGTTTGGCAACTTTGTCATGTGTTTCCAAAGCTCACAAGTGAATCATCCAGAAAGCTAAAACACCTAAAAACAGACTTAAACCTCATTCTTTAGAAGCCTAAACATCTTTCAAGAAGAATGAGTAAGTTTAATAGATAAATTAATGTGACTTTCTTTTAGTTTTTCCTGTAATGTTGATTTGTGTATTTTAAGAAATGGGAAGCCTGGAGTTACATCTGGGAGTCATGTGGCATTTATTGTACCAAATTAACATCCCTCTATGTATTGCACATTGTAAAAAGTTTTAGTTTTGATATGTTGTGTTTTTACCATTTATGCTGTAGGCTCATGTTGTACTGAGCTCATATAGTAAGTGAATAAATGTCCTGCCTACCCACTTTTCATCCAGGAATGTCTCATTGGTGTTATCACATGTTTTTGCTATACTTTAATATCTTACTCTGCCTCCTCTAACTTACTAGTGATATGCAGGTAGAGCGCTGTGTGGGTTACTCCACCAGGCATGGTATCTCAAGATCGCATGACTGGAAACATCTTCTAGATGTGGTCCCATGTGAACTGAGGGCTTAGGATTGGAATAATTTTTAATTGTGTTACAATGTTAAATATTTCAACATACTGCATAAAGTTCCATATTCCTGTTACCTCATCAACCTTATGTATTCAGAAACAATGACCAAGAAAATAAATGTATCCCATATGCTATTTAGAACAGCATATTCAAGCTAAGGTCAAGAGCAAAGCTGAAAGCATACAATTCACCTATCATCAACTAAACGGAAACTCAAATGAAAAACCACTGAAACTAGGCCTAAATATATATTCTAGTTTCTTTTGCTTTTTAAACAAATGTTGCGGAGCTACTCCTGATAACTCCTGGTTTGCACGTACACAGAACTGAAAAAGGATCATCTGAAAATGCAAATACTGTCTTCAAAGTTGCATATGACTTTGGAATGCATAATAACAGGTTTTTTCCTATAATAGTTATTTAAAATAATTTCAATTTACATCACTATGAATTATCTCCTGTCAATTACAGGGCAAGAGAAATGGCTAAGTAGTCAGTTGTGGTAGCAAGAAAAAGGTATCCAGTGATAGATGTACTGAGAGCATATTGTTGCAATCAGCTCTTAAAAGGCAACTAATTTACCTCGGGGACAGAGGCTACACTGTTGATTACTGTGACTCACCTGTGCCATTGGCAAAACAGCTTTGTAGTTTCATAGCATGCTAACAGCATATGACTCATACCTACTCAAAAATAAGTAGTCAAATTGAATGAAGTATTCTAATTTCCACAGGCCAGTTTCTGCATTATCAAAAGCAATTAACAAACAAACCTATCAAAGGAATTAGACAATTCAGCTTTGGGAACACAGATTAGAATTTAGAAGCTCCATGGTGCTAGGCAGGGTGGAGAGAGAATAAGGCCAGTAAAGCCACTAAAAGGGACTCAAAGAGTTAACCAGTTGAAGCTCCAAAGGCCAGGAGTGACTTGAAATGTTCAAATATTTCCCAGATAAAGAAAAGTGAGCACAGCCCATGTCTTCAAAGTGTCAATTAGATCATGTCATTGTAAGATTTACTTTAGCCTGCTAAAAGGCCCAGCTTATTCTTTAACTTAATCTATATGCTGTTTTTACCTCCTCCAGAACCTAATCAAGTAATTTGCAACCTGGGCAGGAGACAAGCATCATGATTAATTTTCCAAACAAGCCCAGATATAAACATCACAGTAAAAACAGGAAAGATTCCATCTTAAAGCTAAGATTGCATTTTAAAACCCAGGAAATTAAGAAGTAAGACTCTTCACATATTCTTCAGCAAACATAAGTCAGCCCACCTTGCAGGCAGGGCAGGAGGTCTTGACTGATAGGTTCCCAGAGGGAAGCTGCTATCCTCGGGTGGAACCAGATCAGTAAATTTCTTGGGTTAAGTTAATTTTGCAGAATTACCTGGAGGACTGATAACAGAAGCAAAGAGATGTAATGTCTCTCATCAAAGATAAACATCTTGAGACCACTTGACTATTCCACACCTCTAGGCCTTTGTCACATTCCTGAAAAATCCTTAAATGGGGGTACCCCCGATCTTTCAGCACACCTCTCTCTAAGGTTGCCCACACTTTCTCTCAACCTTTCAGGGCATTTCTCCTCTCTGAGGACACCCACACTTTCTCTTTAACTCCGTAACTTTAAATAAAACTCTTACTCTGCCTCACTACTGTGTCTCTGACCCTTCAATTCCTTGTTGCGGCGGGGACAAGAATGGAGGAAAATAAACAACCGCCCCCCAACAATAGGACACTGCCTTAAAAAAAAACAAAACAAAACAGTAAGTATGATTTAAAGTCAAGTAACAGTATGCCTGTTAGCATAAAAACACATTACACAGTAGCCAAATGACCAAACCTTTATGTTAACAGAATACACTGAGAAGTTAACATTTACTTCCACATATTTTGTAAGGAAAATCTCTACTTCTATCTATACATAAGTAAACTAAAGAAAACTGTTACAATTTTGTTAGGTAAAAATGTTTTTAACTCCAATTAGTATGATGGTTTTAGGTATTTAGAGAGAAAAAATGTAGGGAACCTGAGAAATGACCTTTATGAAAGTCATGGACCCATCACTTTACTCTTTAAACCATCTTCCTGTTAATCACACACTTCCTACTAAGATAAGTTGAAAATTCAACATAATTGCTCCTCAACTCCCAGTCACAACTTTAGAAATTACCATGGAAATTTAACCTTTAAAATGTAGTAAATAAACCTTAGCAGCACTTCCTCCTCCTCTTCTCTTTGAAAGTGTCAAGAAATCTCACACGATTACAGACTGAACTCTGCTGCCAGCAGCGGTGGCCCGGAGCAGCCAGGGGGCCAGTGTGGAGCCGGAAGGTGATTCTCGGGCAGAGGGGCTACTTCCTCCCCTTCAGGTCTTCTTTCACCTTCCAGAGAACCAGTTCCATGCAAGCAGCTGCGTTTTCACTTGAACTGTGACCTCCAAATAGTACAGAAAAATAATGCATTAAGACATACAATGACTATATCTTGGAGGTCACACATGGATGCGCTTAAAATGGAGCCTTAAATTTATGTTCACAACAAAATTAACACTGACCACTTATCAAATATGGTTATTTAACACCTAAAACAACCCCTATTGGTTGCTTTATAAATGTTTTACATAAATCCAGATTCACACACATATCCTTTTCTATGTAGCCTGTCCTTGGGCACCCTGTCACTACTACCTTGCTGTGCCTGGACAGCATGTGTACCTCCAGGCAGATGTGACAACGACGTGGCAGGTGTAACCAAAGGACAGGGATCTGGCAAGAAACCAGAAACATGGAAGGCTAGAAAAAGTATACTTCTCTAAAACAAATGGATGACTTTAGAGGACATTTGTTTGTTTAGAGAGGTGTACTTTTATCCAGAACAGATACTTCTATTAATATATGTTTATCCAAAATATACAGCCTACAGTTCTGCTGAGAGTAATAAATGTCTCAGATTGAGAAAAAATGATACAGTCAATGCTTTCTAAATGGTATGATATTTTTCATTTATTTGTGTTATTCTAAGAAAACAAAGGCTATTTTTGGCTCTTAGGTCCGTAGTTCAAGATTATTTTCAACAGAACACATGACAAATTTTATAACAGAATTTTATGGGAATCCTTTAAGAATATTTTTAACAATGCAGATCATGTAAATTAAAAACCCTCTGCAAGACAGTATTAGTGTCTAATGCACACAGAATGCAAGAATAAAGATCATAGGGTAAAATCTGCATTTTGTACAATTATGACATGAACAGATGAGCATCCCATATCAAGTATTTTTAGAAACATAGCATTACAACAAATTTTAAAATAGTCAAAATCAACTTTTCCGTCTTGTGCACAGAAGGGCCTATCTGGGTGTGCAGACTGACCTCCTTTTGAAGCAGACACTGGGCGGTGGTGCACACGGCAATGCCACTAAGGGACAGCTGGTGGCTAGACTTGTAGAGCTTGATTAACTTGTTTAATGTTGGGTATATTTCATTTTAAAAAGTTCTGACAGCAAAATATACTAATCTGGCATAAAGGAAGGGCATGCATAATGAATCTACTGAATTTGAGTAATAGTTCTAACACAACACAACACACACACAATTTACCCTGGGTGAGATAGCTTGGCCTCAATTTTAGAATCTCATTTGGTTCAATGAAAAGCACATAGGAAAAGAGGTACATAGCAAAATTTAGAATGGGATCACATCTCCACACAACAAAAGTTTTATGCATAAATTCAAAAGCCAAATAACTTGATGTAGAATTACCCAGCTCCATTTTCAGTGTAACTGCTGTTCCTGTGGAGCATCCAGGGCTATCTCAGGCTCAGGGCATGCAATACTTTTTCCAGAAGCAGATGCTTTAGGGTTCTCCACCCTAGGAGACACCCCACAGAGAAGAACCTACCATACACATACACATTTCGGACAGCAAGCCTTTACCATGGACCTCATGGTTTGTCTAGTCAAGTCAGACTTAGGATCCTGATGCCAATCACAAGCAAACGGGCTCTTACCATCATCCTGAATGATTCTCTGCAGGTAATCAGCCACTAGACTCTTTAGGGATCTTTTATGGGGCAAGCCTAGGCGATGAGGAAACAGAACTGTTGTGTCCACAACTGAAGTATGAATTAACTGTCAAATGAAAGAGAAAAATCCCTCAGAAATTCTTCCCAAAGAGCGAGGAAACTGAGAGCAGCAACAATAACTATGCTACCACAGCAAGTAACATGGAAGTTATATGTCAGTTACTCAGCATTTTACAAGGATTATTTCACTACAACTTGCAAAGTAACCTAATGAGGTAGGTATTTTATTGTTCCTATTTATAGACAAGGAAACTGAGGCTTCAAGATGTTAAGAAAGTTGCCTAAACTGAGTTACACTGCTTAGATATCATTTCCTTGTACTCTACTAACTTCCGAACCCAGTTTCTTAATGGGAGAGCAGGGGGCAGCATGAGCGCAGAGAGGTTCTAACTGACGTGGGGAAAATGAGAACAAGGCTCCTCAGACACTGTGGCTCAGCTGGTGCCGGGTTGAGGAGGCACACACCTCAGTTTACTGCGTGTCCTATCGAATTTCAGCGGCTTACTGGTCTGTCTCTAGTGAGAGAGCATGGACAAGGGCTCACGCCCATCTAGGTCCAAATTTCCTGTGCTTGTTCATGGAAGAAGGTGAATAAATTGTACTCGAGTTTAAAAAAGCATAAAGTATGATAGGACAGATCTGGGGAAGAGGGATCAAAATCTAGAAAGACAGGTGCCAGTTTGGAGTCCTCATTAGGAGAACTATATTTTGAAAGGAACATAGACAAAGATTAACTTCAGGACAAGAGTCATTTAAAGACTAAGAAATGAGTTAGAAATTTAACATTTAGCACTATGGTCATAAGCACTTTAAATTCTCATTTAACGTGTCAGCCACCACCTATGCACTGATTCCTGGCTGCAGGGTATCAAGTAAATAAAAGAAGGAGATGGTAGAAACAGAGAAAAATGGAAAAATCCATGAGTTATCTGGATGGAAGAAATAGACTGATTACAAGGAATGAAGAAATACAATTGTTGTGAAATGTTCTGGTCTGGGAGACAGGTGGAATAGAACAGTTATTGAAAATTGAGACAGAAAGTCATGGTGAACAGTTCAGTTTGAGAGATGATGTCTCTGGGGAGACAGAAGGACATCCCTGTGAAGAGCTTGCTTACAGAAAACAGGTCCCCAACTCTTGTTTCTGCAGTGTGGTAGGCTCTGGGTGGAAGAACATTCCACCTTGTCTGCCACATGCACAGACAACACTACTGTTTCCAAGAAGTATCTATACTGTGAATTCTAGCTTTACAGAGAAAAGGGCTGACATTCACTTATGAAAATTAAATGGCCTTACTTACAGTCTTACACAAAAGAACTAGACTTTCTCTGCATAAAAAGAAGTACCAGAGGTGACAAAAGTAAGTACTCAGTAAAAGTCCCCTAAGTTCTAGAGCTGTGCTGTGCAATGTGGTAGCCACCAGCCACACATGGCTATTTAAATTTAAACAAATTGAAAAATTACTTTCTCAGTCACGTTAGACACATGCTAAGTGCTCAACAGTCACATGTGGCTAGTATATACCATATCTGATTGTGAAAATATAGAATATAAAGTTTTATTAGATAGCACTGCTCTAGAACAGAGGTGGCCATCAAACTCTGCAAGTGCCAAACTGTAAATATTTCAGGCTGGCAGGACACACATTCTCTGTTGTAATTATTCAATAATGCTCTTGTACTGTGAAGCAGCCACAGAAATACAGAAGTGAATGGGCAAAGAACAGGCAATTTTAACTTAGAGTATATTAAAGGGGAGCCTTTCAAGTTTAATCATACCAAGAAAAACTAACATGACATTTGATTTTGAGCCTACCTATAAAGCCTACCTGACATCATATGAAAAGGTATATCAACTATAAAATGACCTGATTAACTTACTCTTACACATTTGAATATTAGAGACAATGATTTAAGACAATGTCAAAATGTCAAAACAATGATTTTGGTTTTATCATAATTAATAATGGACTTCTTTCCCATCTGATTTGCCAATGACTTGAGCTGAGCTACCTTACCCTGCTTCTGATTTGTGCTAGTTGTACTCAATCAACACAGACAGTAATTCTTTTCTTCTTAGTTAATTGGGCAAATCAAATAACACAACACTAATGACTACCATCCTAAAACATGGTTTTATACAAATATGACCCCATAATTCTTTACCTTAAGAGCATACAGACTATATTCAAAGCTATGCCCAATCAGTACAGTGTCAGCACTGAACAGGTTCAACAAGATGGCTTGCACATCATGGATTGATGTTTTAGTGTTCTTCAAATCATCTTCAACCACACCAGAAAACCTGCCCCAATGACACACATAATACATGTAATTAAGAATGTAACTCAGTGGATAACAGATAAAATGTCCAGTTATCATTAGAACACATTACTGACCCAATATGATAAACCCTTACTGAACAGAGATCTTACTTATATTACTGTCAACTACCCCTTTTTACTAGGTTATATTGGTGACCTAGTAAAATTTATAATTTGGATCAATAATGTAAGACTGGGGGTGGGGAAAGACAAACTTATTACAAGTTTGTACAGTTCCTGTTTACCCTCATCTCTGTATAATCTGAGTTTTATCAATTACAATTTAGTTAAACAGCCCATCTCCCAATGAAGTAAGCCTAAAGATTAAATTGTGGGTAGCATGGAAGAGGATATGCAGTCCTAGGCATAGTCTAGACAACCTCAGTTTGAACCATGCTCTGACCCTACCATTTATTTACTCTACTTGATTTTTAGTAAGTTACTTAATCTTTTGGTCTCAGTCTTCTCATCTGTAAAGTAGGGTTAATTACCAATCTTAATGACTTATGAAGACCCAGTAAAAATACATGTAGAACATGACAAATGGCATTCATGAAGCACCTAGTAAATAAATGTTCAGAAACCTGGCTACTGCATATGCTTCACTGAAATTTAGGAGAAAAACAAGAGATAAAAATACTGCAAAGGTGTTTTCAACTCAAACTGTATGCTAATATTACTGTCTCCCATAAATATACCTGGCTCCACTTTTATCCAACATAGTTTTGCAAGTTCTAGCCAGAGAAATTAGGCAGGAAAAAGAAAAGGCATCCAAATTGGAAAGGAAGAAATAAAACTCTTTGTAGATAACATACTTTCATATATAGAAAAGCCTAAAGATTCCCAAAAAAAACTGTTAGAACTAAGAAACTCAGTAAAGTTTTGGGGTACAAAGTTAATTAAAAAATAATCTGTTCAATCATTATATACTAACAACATATCAGAAAGAGAAATTATGAAAACAGTCCCATTTATATTGTATCAAAAATAAAAACACCTAAGAATAAATTTAACCAAGGAGGTGAAAGACATGTACACTGAAAACTGTAAGATATTGATGAAAGAAACTGAAGAAGACACAAGTATATGGAAAGATATCCCATGCTCATTGGATAATTAATATTGTAAAAATTATCACACACACACACAAAAATATATCACACAAAGCAGTTGACAGATTCAATTCAATCCCTATCAAAATTTCAATGGCATTTTTCACAGAAATAGAACAAACAATCATAAACTTTATATAGAACCACAAAAGACTGCAAACAGTCAAAGTTATCTGAGAAAGAACAAAGTTGAAGCATCATACTCACTGATTTCAAACCATATTACAAAGCTATAGTGATCAAAACAGTATGGCATATAGCTCAATGGAACAGAGTGGACAACCCAGAAATAAATCAACAAATATGGTCAGTTATGACAAAGGAACCAAGAATATACAATGAGGAAAGGGCAGTCTCATCAGCAAATGGTGATGGGAAAACTGCACAGCTACATGCAAAAGAATCAAACTGGGCCACTATCTTACACCATATACAAAAATTAACTAAAAATGGATTAAAGACTTGAATGAAAGACTAGAAACAATAAAACTCCTAGAGGAAAACAAAGGTAGAAAGCTCCCTGATATCAGTCTTAGTGATATTTTTCTGGATTTGACTCCAAAGGCAATGTCAACAAAAGCAAAAATAAGTAAATGTGATGACATCAAATGAAAAAGCTTCTGCTCATGAAGGAAACTATTAACAAAGTAAAAAGGCAACCTACTGAAGGGGAGAAGATATTTGCAAATCATCCAATAATAATTAATATCCAAGGTGTTAGGCTGGAGAAAGGAAAAACAAGGACATGCAAACAGAACAGAGAGATGCCATAGGGGGAGAACAGACCAGACCCCAAAGTCCGTGCGTATATGGAAAGGGGACAGCTCTCCCTGAATTCCATCCTGATGTGCCAACTAAGACCCGGATGTCAGCCTCCTCCCTCTTGGAAAGAAAAAAGTTTCTAATTGACTATTATGTCACCTTTAGCCAATCATACCTCTCCACACCCCCTAGGCTAGCTTGCCCACTCCTCCCCCTCCTAATCCCTTATAAGCGCCCCACCTCCCTAACCGGGTGTGACTTCTCTGGCCTGTGACAAGAAGGCCACAGAACCTCACCAGGGGGTATTCAAATAAATTATGTGGCCCTTTGTTGCCTCTCTTTGCCTGCTTATTTCGGCTAGAATTTATCTTACACAAGTTATATGAAGAACTCATACAAAGAAACAAATAATCCTATTAAAAATGGGCTAGGGACCTGAACAGACATTTTTCCAAAGAAGAGATACAGATGGCCAACAGACACATGAAAAGATGCTCAACAGAACTAATCATCAGGGAAATGCAAATCAAAACCACAGTGAGATACCACCTCACACATGTAAGAATGGCTATTACCAAAGGACAAGAAATAAGTGGTGGCAAGAATGTGGAGAAAAGGGAACCCTAATGCACTGTTGATGGGAATGTAAATTGGTGTAGCAGCTAAGAAAAACTGTACGGAGGTTTTCCAAAAATTCAAAAACAGAACCACCAAAAACATACATAAATATATATACACCCTGGTGTTCATGCAGCCCTCAATGGATGAAGACCACCCCCCACCACACACACACACCCCACCCCCGCCACCCCCTCCGGACTATCACGCAGCCATAAGGAACGATGAAATCTTTTCATTTGCAACAACATACATGTACCTTGGGGATACTGTGTCAAGTGAAATAAGATAAAGACAATATTGTATGAATTCACTTACATGTGGAGTCTAAAAAATACAAAAAGAAATAAGCAAAACTCATAGATATAGAAATGAGATTGGTGGTTGCCAGAGAGAACTGGCATTGGAGGGTGGCAAAATGGGTAAAAGGCATTAAGAATTACAAACTTCCAGTTATAAAATAAGTGAGCAAAAGGGCCTAGGGACTACAGTCAATAATATTGTATTGCAAATTTGAAAGTTGCTAAGTAAATCTTTTAAGTTCTTATCACAAGAAAAACTTTTTTTCTAACTCTGTATGGTCACAGATAGCAACTAGAATTATAATGGTGATCATTTCTCAATGTACATAAATGTTGAATCATGACACTGTATGTCAATTACACTTAAATTTTAAAAAAGATACCTATCTCCATTATTCAGCTTAGTTAGGAAATGTGATACCTGGTTAATTAAATATTTGGATTAAAACAAAATTATCATGTAAGGAGTACTTGGGTTCATTTTAAAGCATTTTTTAAAGAATGCAATGTACTGAATGCATTTGAAGTTTCTTCTAAGCTTCAAAGGTTCTTTTATTTGTAATGCAAATGTAAAGCTCTTCAGTTATCATTTTGTCACCATGAGTATCAATAATTACCCAAACATATCTTGACTTGTTTCAAAAAGGGGTTAGGGAAGATTTCATTAAACCCACAGAAGTATAGAAAGCAGTAACAGTACAGTAACTTTAAATATATCATAATTTTGTCATTAACCTCAATAAAGCTGAAAAAAAAAAGTAAAATACATGGGGTTATTAAGATATGGCCAAATGAATAAGGAAAAAAAACTACAATGAGGTCAGAGGAGAGACCAGTATATAAACTGCATTTTCTGAATAACAGCAACTTTTTATGCATATAAGCATTTTTATGAACTGTGAGAGAATTTAGATTAAAAAATGCTGTTAGAATTATCTATATTCTTAGTTATCATCAAAACTTTTTAACTTACCTAGATTTATAATATAGTTTTATATAATTTAATATTTTTATTTATATATATTTAACATATACACTGTATATACAGTATGTTATATACACTTTACACACTATACAGTATATCTGTGTATACATACAACTCATATCTATATGTAAAGTCATATTTTAAGTATTATTGGTGAATTTATTAAAGAAAATTGAATAGATGCAATTATACTGGTAATAAACACTTCTAAATTTTCACTATAGAATAAGATCAGTACCTATTTATATTTAAATAAATATATTAATATGTTATGTCATATGGCTTATATATTTGTAGGAAATTCAGTTTAATTGATCAGTTACATCACTGATGTTTCACATGAGGTCTTTAAAAATTAAAGGCACATCTGTATTGTACCATCTTAAGTGAGCAGTAAGTTTGGATCAAAAACATGTCACACTTTAATTATAATCAATAAAACAGAATCTGCACTAAACCACTATTCTGTATGCCATATCAAACTATGTATTTTCTCTTATTTAGTGTTGTAACTCAGGGCCCAACACAGTGTCTGCATAATTATTAACAAGGTACTCAATAAAATAAGAATGTTTTTGAACAAATGGATGAATTAAAGGACAATAGTGCAAAGTCATGCTCTGAAGTTGAGTCCAATAAAAGTACATAGGCTAAAACTCATAGAAACTACATGCTGGATGTTCTACAGTCTCAAAAGCAACCCTTTTATGTAATGCATACCTAGTGTTATAGTCAATGACTTCTTCTTCTGGTTTCACAAATGTATCATAGACTACCCGGAGGCTGGGGTCCACCACTGTCACTCGGGTAAGTTCCAAGCCTTTGGCTGTATAGCACTGTAAAGGTGGAAATATTAGATTTATATATCATATTGAATAAACGTATTTTCTTTTAACACCTGTGTTATTTTCAAGGAATATTTCTAACTAGAATATACAATTTAATCACCTTCAGTTTTGCTAACAAAAGCCAGTCAAGTGGGTGTGATAGTCAGATAAAAGATGTTCCAAGCTTTAATGTTTTCCTTAATGTTAGCAATATTTCTGCTAATTAAATAATCTTATTGGCTTAGCCTTTACAATTATTTTCATAAGAGATCAGTGCTATCCAATAAAACCTGTGATGTTGAAATGTTCTTTGCTATCCAATATGGTAACCACTAACCTGTGTGGCTATTGAATATTTGAAATGTGGCTAGTGTGACTGAATATTTGAATTTTTAACTTCATGTACTTTTAATTTACTTAAATTTAAATAGCCACATGTAGCTAGTGGCTACCATATTGTACAATGCAGTTGCAGACCTTGTTGAATGAGAAAAAGAAAATTCCCTCCATAGATATGTATCCATGGCATCATAGAGGACAACAGGGTAGTACCTGAATTCTAAGCTAGATTTCATGGTTTCGAGTTAAAGACCTAACCTTGAAAACCAAAGACTGCCCTTCTACAGGTATAACAATTAAAACTAACTCTATAAACTGCTTTCCAAATATACTACAGGGATTAAAAATTCAATCTTATGTTTTGTCAAAGGTGGACTGACCACGTATGTCTGACATGTACAAAGCACTTTCCGTGTATCTGATTCTCACAGTCACTGTAAGTTATTATTAACCCCACAATTTACAGATCAGAGCATCCATCTCAGCGGTCACAGCTGGTAAGTAGTGAAGCTTCCCAGAGCTTGTTATTCCAAGTTCTGGGTTTTTTTCCCCTACTTTTTAGTATTGATTCTCATATGAAGGAAAAAAATCTCTATTAACATTTTATAGTCTCTGTAATTAATAGTTTTAAAAAATGTTATTAAAGTTTCTATGCTGACTTGAGGATAAGAGTAATATTCCTAACATTTTCCACTCATAGTATCAGCAATTCAGTAAGTAGAACCAGCACTAGTTATTTATAGAGAAAAATTAATAAATACAAGGATCATGGACCAATATTGGCTCCATCACTAAGTGCAGGCACTCTGCCAAGTCACCTAACTCTTCAGCTTCAGTGGCTTCATCTGAAAAATATGTGAACAATATTGCCGAATTATGTGGGGCTGAGAGATAAAGCCTAGGAAAGTGCTTCCTACAATGTAGATGCTCCACAACAATTCAGTTGTCATTACTGCAATCTGGTAAAATAGAAAGCTGACATACCATTTCACAATTCATAGCAAATACACCGTGACTATCACTGTGGGGTCGGAACCTGGCAAATGTCTTCACGAAGCCCTCTAGGTTTTCTTGTTGGTCATGAACATGGAGCTGAAATAAACATTACCAGATAAATCACTGTATGTTTTTACAAGAGCAATTCAACTCATAAAAATTTTATCAACTGAAAATTAGCTAATTAATTCCTTCAAATGCTCATTGATCCCTGGAGGCAGGAGCCCTGGTTCTGACACCAGCAGCAGTGACGAGCCCTACCTTGGCGACCTGACAGCCGGGGGATCCAGGGACACCTTCGCAACAGCTGTACCATGTTTCTAAGCCACCAGGGACTGCAAACCAACCAAAAATATAAACATCAAAACAAGCAAGCTTCCCAGGGCTGAGTGGCTAACTCTCAGAGCATGTGTATTAGCCGCAGAGACCTTTAAGGACTCTGCTGCGAAGTGATCTGAGGTTACCACTCTCCACAGACACTCTTGTAAATGTTACATCATCAACAGCAGAAGTCAATTCCCGGAAGCAGAGTTTGCAGGGGTTGCATTTTACAGGTGAATTACAATTGCCAAAATCCTGAATGCCTTCTTTCTCCCTCCTGGCTTTGCACCATCATTTGCCTTGGTGACTTCAGCAACTCTCGACTCACTCTGTCCTGCTTTGGCCCCACCTCAGCTATCCTTTCAGCATCATCTTCTGTTCCACGACCTTTGCTGTCTGCGGGAGCCCTCTGGGTGACTCCCAGCTACCACCTTTTCCCTTCCTGTGTCTGAGCTGTTGATCTGACCCAAGGAACGTCACTCTGTTACGGAGACTGAGGGCATGACCCAGAGGTGGTCTCTGATCTTGGCTAGACCTCCAGAGTCCTGATGCCCTCTTCTTCCATACTCTCAGCCAGGCACTTCACAGTTTCCCAAAGTTATAATGCCAAGCCTTCTCCTCTCTTTCTCACCCCCTCCCACGTTCCACCTTACCTGTACCCTGATACACCCTGAGCTTTCTTCCCTCTGATCCCAGGTAATATTCTTTCAACTGCTAATCACTCCCTCTGCTACCAGTGGTTTCTATGCCAGTTTTCCTATAAAATATGGCTAGACTGAGCTTCCTAATGTGCATTTTCATTATATCACTTGTATACTGCTAATCAAATGTAATTTTCTCAGGCTGGCCCTAAAGGCTCTTGCTTAACCAACCTTATATATCCCACAGCTTTATCTTACCCTCTCCTGTAATGAGAAAGGGAGGCAGAGAACCAGTATTAATAGAGCATCTATTATAAGCCAGAACTTGATGTGGCAGCTCACTGAACTGCCATACAAACCTCCATCTTTGAATTTGGAAACAAAAGCTCAGAGAGCTTGAGTAACTTGCACAAAGTCTCAGAGAAGGGAGCCACAAAATGTTAGGTCTGCTGGCTCCAGAATCCCTGTTCCAGACATGACACTGTGTGGTCTGTTAGCTCAGCTGGTTTGTCTGCTACGCAGTCTTCAGTGTCTTCCCTCTTTACACTTCCCTTTGGAATTCACAAACCTCCCACTTTCGAAACTAAGAGCTCTCTGCTTTAAACACTCAAGTGGACTTGCCTGACTGACTTTACCACATTATTTGTTCATGCATTTATTCTGTCAATCATAGCCACTGTTCCTCTACTTTCTTTGCCCTGTTTTATTTTCTTCATAGCATTCATTAAATATCATTCATATTCATGCCCACATCTACATAAATAATTCACCTGTCCAACCATCTGTCCAAATATTTACTGAAAGCCTCTCTGTGTTAGATACTATGCTAAGCCTTGGTGGGAAGACAATGCGGGGAGAAAGAATGGAGGGTCCTCTGAAAGCTTACGGTCTTTTGGAGATGGCAGATAAATCACTAGATTATTACAAAATATAAGTGTTATGAAAGGAAGAGGTGGCATGCTGCAATAGAAGAGGGAGGGCCCATCTTAAATGGCACAGTTGGGAAAGGGCTTTGTGGAGGTACTATTTAAGCAGAGACATAAAGGATGAGAAGGAAAGCAGAGGGACCAGCAGGCGAGCAGGCTCCAGAAAGGTGGCTGGTGCAGCCTGAAGGGAATGATGGAAAGCATGGAAGCTGGGAGGTGAGGCAAGGATCAGGCAGGTCAGCCTGTAAAGGCAGGGTCTTAACTAAAGCAGGGGAACTATGGGAGCAGAAATGGGATGTAAAATAAAACTATTCTGGGGGTTGCTGGGTGAAAAATAGCTTTGGGGGCAGGGTTGGAGAGAGACAAGAACAGCAGAAGCCATGAGACTGGAAGGAGGATAACATGTGATTCAGGACAGAGATGAAGGTGGTCTGGCCTGGGGTGGTGGCAGCAGAGGCAGAGAAGAGACAGTTTGGGACACCTGAGGCAGAACAAATGAGATGCGCCCACTGCTTAGATGAGAGGGTGTGTGAGATAGAGACAAAGATGATGGTGCTGAGGTTTTTGGTTTGACTGGGAAAAAAACCCAGCTGCCTGGACAGCAGGGCATTGAGCATGGGGCACTGACTGTGCCGGAAAGGAGTCAGGGGCTGTGGGGACAGGCTGGAATTAAGGGTTCCCCTTCACTCAGTGCAGGGAGGGGGCAAGGAGTTGAAGCTACAACAGAGGAACGATTACAACACTGTCATGTGAAAGCTGGTGAAGTGAGGAGGTAGCTGGCTGACAGCTACACCAGCTCAGAAAGGCAGAACTCTCCTAGGCTGAGAGTCCGTGAGCCAGGGAGCTGCAAGGCTAGGATGTGGTGGTCAGAGGAGGTGTCTGCAAATGAAACTTCAGAGTCAATACAGTTTCTCTTTACTACACTGTACTTAACAAATATATATTGAGCTGAATACTTTATTCCACTTTTCTCTGAACAACTTGTCAAACAAATGAACTACCAAATACTTGCCTTTAAGACACAACACTGGTCCAGAGTGGTAGTTACATTCTTGTACCCTACTGTATTTGCCTGTAGGAGTCACACCATATATTTCCCCACATCGACAACATATCTTCTTAGAAGCTAAAATAGGAAATCAAGTAGAATTATTCATAAATAGATGGAGGAGAAAAGAAATATGGACGTGAATGCAGGGACTTGCCTTCACATTCTTGATCATTTAGTGAACAGAGACCCTGTGTAATCACAAAGTATCTGGAAAATAACAGAATTACTCAAAGGAATATTTGCCGGAGACCTGTTTATAACACCAGGGCTGCCACTCTTCACTGGCATCCCCCTGCCTCCCTCCAGAGTCAGTGCGATGCCTGATAATCGTTTTTGGCACCACAGTTTGACTGTGGCCAACTTTATGAGTCAGGTACTCTAGAACATAGATGCTCCTGAGATAAGACCCATGTCTTCCTTATTATTCCTTTTAGATACATAATGATCTCTATGTTTATTAAACCACTGAGAGTATATCTGGACTTTTCACTAGACCTATTTATGAGTACTTATTTTTTATTAATAACCCTCAAACTGGTTCTGAGGATGAGAATAGCAGCTCTGGTTTGAGTGTCTAAGATGAGATTAGGAGGCAGGCACTGTGCCAAGCATTATATAGGCATCATTTTAACTCATTCTCACAGCAACCTGATGGGGTGGACCTTTACCCCATTATTCAGAATGGAAAGACGAGGCTGGAAAAGGTTAAATGACTTATTCAGCACCCAAACCTGGATTGGCCTTTGTCCATCAGAACAGGTTCGTAGCTGCTAAGTGTCCTACCTCACAGACAGGGTTAAAAAAAAGAAGTGAAGCAAATGGTTAAGATAACCCTGAGAGCAGTTCTGGAAATGCAGAAGATGAAGATAAATATTTTCTAGCCAATGGAAAATGTTACTGTAAGTGCACTTCAAACTCCCATGGATCTATGATTTGACAGTTGTGAAATTAAACATTCTATTTCTCGCTCT